CCGATCGAGAAGAGAAACTTCTCTGATCAATCAAGAATTATAAGAAAGAGAAACTTAATATTAATAGTTCTCTTAATGGATTAGCTACCCAGAGAGAGAATAGAACATCTATTAATATAAATGGTTCATTTACTTGTATTGATATAACTATACTGCTGATAAAGAGTATAAATAAATAGTGTATGAATGAATAGATAACTATCTTCTACAACGAAATTATACTAAAATCGCACTATTTAACATATAAAATCGCATATAAAATCATTCCATCGATCCTTGATCGACAGGTACATAATATCATAACACTCATAAAAATTAATAGCATAAAAAATATCCTGAGTTATACATTTACAACTCAGGGTTACTAGATATTCCAATAGAAGATCCCATTTCGAATAATAGATTGGCTACACTGATAAGGCTCATCAGTCATTAGTAAATACAGCCAATAATACCAAGTGAACACAAACGAGCCCATAATTTTACCCACGCTTTAAATAACTATAAATACCCCCCTTTCTTTCAGAGATGGAAGAGTGATTCACTTTTAATAAGAATAAAAAAGCCTACAAGCAATATTAATCTTATTCTTCCTGTTTTTTTATCTTTTATTTTTCCGTGTCAAACAAACCGTTTTTCCACAGAAATATACAAATCGATAAGACATTTTATATTTGGGATCGTACTTTATCCTTTACAAAGATAAGAAATAAATGATCAACCATTATGCTCTATTGCCAATTACACTTGACAAACAAGTATGCATCTTTTACAGTAACCGTTGCATGATCTGATAAATAAGTGTTTTGTAATACCAAAGATTTATTAGAATACTCATGCTCCCGATCCACTGATATGGGACAACGTTAACTGGAAACAATTTTAACGAGTAGTATCCATTTAATCCAAGGCGGGAAACAAAGTATAGATCTATTCGAAAACCAGAAGGGTTGACTCATCATTAGAACTCAGGAGAGTTGTGCAATATAAAAAGGATCAATTATTTCATAGCAGCAGAGTTCTTTTAGTCTATTTTTACCCCTAATAAAAATATACTTTTATCTCATTACTTTTCTATGTAATATTTTGTCAAATACCACATATATAATTTCTCTTGCCTTGTCCTCACCTTAATAATCATTCTGTTCTGCTCTTGCCCCGCCCCGCTCCTGACACAATCTATAATATAGAAGTATGTACTCGTAGTAAGATAAGTTTTATAGCAGTATACAAGCGTATACTGATATGCAACATCAAAGGTTGTTTTAATTTTATAGTATATTTATTTAAACGATTTGCTTCATTATTTTTAAGTGAACCGTACCCAAATACAACACCAATACTTTCAAGTGCAGTGTATATCATACACTCGAGCGAGTTTGAGAATTCATTTATCCAACCGAGCAAAGCCAACAAACCCGAGCGAGTTCAATTTTTAGAAAGAATTCGAGCGAGCTTCGACTGGAATACGACCGAAGCTCGCTCCAGAGTTTCGATCACTAATTGTCTGAGATTTAATCTCATCTAAATATCTGTCTAAGAGGGAAGATTTTACATATCAAGTGTTTATTGTGGTGATCTGCTATATTGTTGCTACATTAAATAAATCCATATCTATGACATCAATACATTAAGAATGATTAAGGAATCAATTACCCAATATAGATAGTTAGTATTATCATATCACAAGGTTACAAGAACACAGTGACTAAAGCTTACTAAAGATATGGAAGTACAATGTGTCTAAGATGACAGTAATTCCAAGTGTAACATATTTACGAAATAAGCAGTTAAAGGTAACAGGATACACACTGGGAAAATGATAACAACTTCAAAGATACACTAAAGATAGTGGTACAGCAGATAGTCTTTTTTGTATAAATACTTGATCATTTTATTTCATAATAAAGACAATCTTATAAACAGTCTCAAATTACTTATATACTGTTGTATTCGAGGAGTATATACACCACAGTATTGGTATACTCCGACGATTGAAGTAATTTATCATTTTTCATATTTTGACATATGTCAGCTGCTCATCTAAAATTCACGTAGCACTAAAGGGAATTTCCCTGTTACGGACTGTTATTTTTATTATCCTTGATGTACCTTGCGGGATATTGACAGCTTGGATGATTTATAATGAAATCTACCCACGATGGTAGTTTTCCCGTTTACAGTTATGGTTATGTTCAATGTGTATAAAAGAACTTGTACTAAAATCGCATATAAAATTATTCCATCGATCCTTGATCGACAGGTACATAATATCATAACACTCATAAAAAAATAATAGCATAAAAAAATATCCTGAGTTATACATTTACAACTCAGGGTTACTAGATATTCCAATAGAAGATCCCATTTCGAATAATAGATTGGCTACACTGATAAGGCTCATCAGTCATTAGTAAATACAGCCAATAATACCAAGTGAACACAAACGAGCCCACAATTTTACCCACGCTTTAAATAACTATAAATACCCCCCTTTCTTTCAGAGATGGAAGAGGGATTCACTTTTAATAAGAATAAAAAAGCCTACAAGCAATATTAATCTTATTCTTCCTGTTTTTTTATCTTTTATTTTTCCGTGTCAAACAAACCGTTTTTCCACAGAACTCTTTATTTTTATATTTAATAAAATCAAGTTATTTTGCAATCCGGTTAATAATTAGTCTTATAAATTATTTTCTTTGTTGTATTTTTCATATACTGCCTTATAATTTTACTTACCTCAAAACACAACATTTATATCATCTCAAATACGACAGCATTGCTTAATAAAATAAAGAAAAAAGAAGAAAGAAAAACGAAAATGCAAGATGAACTTCGGTAACTTTCCAAAGTTAATATATCAGGCTGGGAATAAATATATTTGAAACATTAAGTTCACAGGACCTGATAGACAAAACAGCAGTTGATTATTAAGTCACTAAAGTTGTTAATGTACAACTATTTTTCTTCTGAAAAAAAATCGTCACAACAAACAATAAATCCGCCATAGTGTTTTTTTATATACCAGCTCCAGAGAATGAACGAATTCTTTGCCTTCAAACGCAAGTAATTTTTTCTTACTTCAAACGAAATATTTTTGGGGCGATAAACAATGTTTTGTCAAAAAAAAATGAACGATTTTTTTTTCTGTTGATGCACGAATAATTTTTGAAAGTAGTATATTTCCTGCAATAAATGTCGTTCAGAATTACCTTCGGTATGGTTAAATAATAACACTCGGGTAATATTCTCATATTAATAGTATAATCTTGTTACAGTTAATGATCGAACTTTTCGCGCTAGCACGCATAGCAACTAAATAGTATTCTTAGATCATTTCGTCGAAAATTTTAAACTCTTGTTTTAAACGCAATAATGCATATAATTAGGTCATTTAAATTTTGAAATGGATACAGATAATGCTTTTATTTTTTTAAATGTAAAAAAAATTAAGGTTTCATTAGCGTGATATTGAGAAATCATCATAAATAAATTTTTAATTTTGCCATTCTGTATATAGGCGTTTTAAACACCCCCTAAAACATGGAAAAAGGGGTTGTAGCTCAAATGGTAGAGCGCTTGCTTAGCATGTGAGAGGCACTGGGATCGACGCCCAGCTACTCCAGTCCATCTTTTCTTTTTTTTCGAAAAAAGCGGAGTTTAGAATGTGATAATAAAGGAATTGTTGCCTTTTATAGTAATTTGGGGGAGAGCGAGGCACTTTTCGATAGCTTAAAAAACATTTCTATTAAATGCTGCATGACACGAAAGTTTTGATTGGAAAATGTACAGTCTCCAATTACATGGTTTTAAACATTGAGGCTCATCGTTTATGACAGCAAGACGAGTAGATAAAACCGCAAATATGGGCACTGTCAATTTGAATAAATCTTTACCTTGATGTTAGCACACCAAGATGATTGAATGTTCAAGTCGACCTAAAACTGGGTTGGGAGAAAATACACCATTATTATATTATCAATGTTAAATCTTAAATGTTATTTTTAAAATTGAAATTCAAATGATCTTAGTAATGTTTTGGACGAATCAAAATTAGTTTCTGGATGATTAATTTATCTTTACAGACCGAACAAGAAATAGAAAATACACAAGTTCAAAATACAGTTTAAGCATTTTGCAAATTTATTTTGGATGCCGGATTTTATTAATTTGTATAAATGCTGAAGTATCTTCTAAATGATAAGTCAGTTTTCGATATACTTTAAAATTACTGCGACAAGATGCCTGTTTACGTGTGTAAAGGGAAGTAAACATTATGCGTTTTAAATTGTAAATTAAACAACGTGAAGAATGATGATTGTAGATGTCTCAAGAAATGCGATCTATTTTGATCATAAGAAACTCTTTCTTCTGTTTGTCCTTCGATTGTAGTCGTTTAAAAAAAGGTCTAAGAACGACATAAACATAACATACATCAATGAACTTCAAACAATTGCATGTGGTTTAATTTTTCTTATTGTATTCTAGCCAACTGCATAAATTATATTCATTAAGACACCTATAGATAAAGTCATCAAATCAAGATATATTTTTGCAACAGTCAAATTAGTAGATACTGTTAACAATATCACTACTCGTACATACACATTCTTGATATTTACAAAAATTTCAAGGAGCTTAAAGACGATATTAATTTTGAGCTATTCGCATTTATCAACAAGCTATTTTTTTGTGGAGGTTTTCTTGTCTTTTGGTTGAAAGGCAGGTACGTGATGGTATAAATAATGGAAGAGACAAAACACTTCGGTATCGTGATTTGATTATGAATCACAAAGAACTGCACTGTAAACATGCTAAATATGTACCGTCAAAGCTTACCCACACGCAGCAATCCGCTGCAAAATACATTTTGGTACTTGACTCAATTAGGTCCTGCTATTTATCTGTAAATAAAAGGGCGAACTCAAACAAAAAATAAATTTTGAAAGGTATATCGAAGAACCAACAAAGGGGGTCATCTGAAATAGCGTGAATATTCCATGGCAACTACCAAAACATCTCTAGCTAGAAAGCAGTTACCAGAGGGTACTTTTTTAGAAGAAAATCAATGGTCCTTGATGGCAAGTGTTTTCGCGATGTATCCTATAAGCTACACATTTTTAAACAATTCGATATATTATGATGTTAAAGCAAACCTTCTAAAGCCTTCTATAAACTTGGCCAACTATTGAAACAATGACATTTGATAAGAAAAATACATATAAATTGTTTATGGTTTTCTTACTGTGTAAATTGTTCATTCCTGAGTATGTTACTATCAATATATTTATAATCGGCTATCATACACTTGGCTCCAAGTCATTCAAAGAAGAAAAATCGGCAATATGGGACAAAAATTTGAATACGAAATACAAATCACCCAAGGAGCAAAAAATTGACGGATTTCTATGTTTTCAAGCGATGGAGGTCGTCCAAAAATCAATGCTGCTGTTACACTTGAAGAGTCCAGCACCAGTAAAGGTCGGAAAACTAAAAAAAAGAAAAACATTTGATGATGATGATAGCTTTACCTACTTTAAAGATCTAGCAGTAGAAAAGCTAGGAAGAACAAAAGGCAGGTGCGTGCTCATAGACCCGAGACGTCGGAATATTAATTATATTTTATGCAAGAAACAATTACGATAAACAATCCTCAATTATTTTGATTTGCAAAAATCAAAGTTAAAAAAAAAAAAAAAAAAACTCTAAAATTAAAAACCTAAAAACACAATTGTGACTATTTCCCTTTAATATCACTAATAAATCACAGAGACTCCGTCTCCATATAAACAAAAAAATATATAAATAGTCGGTAAAAAAGTTTACCTTAATCTTTACTCAATTTTTATTTTTCTCTTTCATTATTATTTTACGTATAACTATCCTTATTCTGAAACTCGTAACACTTTATACACAAGAGGTAAATATTGTAACATGTTATTATAGCAAACTTCTTACTTCAAATAACTGCCCTTTTTTACCAGCATGGACTCTGAAATAGATCCTTGTCTGGTGCGCCGGGTACACCTGGAAGCAATATGAGCACATCTAGCTCTTTGGCTCCTGGCGATCGTATTATCTGTTAAATCCTCTATTGATGGTATTGGTTGGGACCCAGAGCGACGTGAAAGGCTCGAAGAATATGTAGTGACAGTCCACAACATCACTACATACGCATACTCACTCTCAAAGTACATTTTTTTGCGTGCCATTTAAGAAGATGAGAACTTTGATATCAGGCGATGTATGAATCGTAATTTTTTTGCCAAGGTGTGGCTCAAACTGACTCGGTATGCACGAGGAAGTGTTGAGGATATCATAGATATAATAATAAAGTTAATTGTCACATCACATTAAGGATGGATAATAAATATAAAGTTAATCATGAATCACGCATTACCCTGCTTGTCCTCATCCTACCGTTGGAGTCTGTACACAGGGCACATCCCTGTGGCGAGTAAATATTTATTCTGCAAAAGCAATACAATCGAATGGGCTTGGACTAGAGAATATTAATAGATCCTGAGCACAAATTACTCTTGTCATTTGATGTTATAACTGTTGATCCCTCTGACTAATATTTATATACTCAGTATGGAAGGGCTAAATTTAAAGACATGTTGATTATTTACTATCACCAGATTATTACATCACGATCCAGTAAGGCGCTTAGTATTCTCCCTAAAACTATCCGAGTTCTTGATATAAATATCCATAGTTTTTTCTCATAGACCATCAATACATTTTGAATACATTTTTTTTTATACGTTTTTAATTATATTTTTTCGTCCATAATAAAGTGGTATCCAAGTTCTAACAGCATCACTTTTGGGTTATATTTTATTTTGTTCTCCATGCAAAACAGGAAGGGCTGGCGGAAGAAATGCGGTGACTCGTGCATTCATTGACACTTATCTTGATGACTATTTGGAGGTCACTGGTTTTGTTCCATCAGATTTCCGCTATGTTCAGCAAGCATCTTTAATCGAAGGAGCAAAGATCTTTACATCTTATAGCAACAATGTTCAGATGCGTTTGGGAATTCATATCAGACAAGCTGGTAATCATCTACTCCGTATCAGACAAAGAAAAGCCGAATTAATTGCTTATAGAAGACGTGAAGGATTAATTGAAGCACTGATAAAATCTGAAATATACAGAGAAATAACTGAGCCGGCGACAAGATTTAAGGAACTTATAGCTAGAAGGTTACCTCAAGATTTTGTATTGGACGGAGAGCAGTTCGGGGACCCTATCTACAATAACGCTCTTGAAATTCTTTGCCTGTCCTTACCAGTTATCCCGTTGACTACCAGTTTTGTGGGAATAGCATTTATTACGATTCCAAAGCAAGACCAGTTGAACATATGCGGGCTTTTTACGAACTGGCTTTATCATTTATTGATATAGAATTACCTGTGTTTAATTGCTTCCATTACGCCGCTTTTGGATTCCTTGCTACACAACCATCGATTCAAAAATTCTTTGTCAAAATATTCTTGGTCGTCGGTGGACTAGTCGTCAAGATAAGATAGCACTTTGGCGTGAAGTAATTAACCTAAACTCGGATGCACTCAAACACCAAGAAAATGGTGAGCTCCAGTTTAGAGAAACTATTTAAACGGATGGAGTAGGTGTAACTGTGATCAAGAAAAGAATGGACCGTGAAAGCAGATATACTGCTCGTTTTGCTGTTGTGGTTGAATCAATTTAGTACATTTCACAAGAGATTGCTCAAGAAACTGTTGGAAGATGTGTTACAATTGATCCTGGACGAAGAGATTTGCTATTCTGTGTGCATGAAAACTCAACCGCAAACAATCCAAACAAGTTTCGATTTACCAAACAGTACCAAGACAGGTTTGAAAAAATCAAAAAATACCGTAGAATCCGTGAAGCTGTGAAACCCGCTAGAGTAGCAGCCGCTGAAAGGCTTTTGATTAATTATGATTCCTTGAATAGAGATGAATTTGAACAGTATCTTGAAAACAGGTCCAATATGACAGGCATCATCCAAAACCACTATGTCAACTTCCGAACCAACCATCTTACTGCTCATCCTTTGCACAGAAAACTGCGGCTATCTGCCTATATCAGAAGACAGCAAGGAAACGAGGATTTTATTTCAAAACTAGATGAACATTTTGGTGTCGAAGCTGTTTATGTTATGGGTAACTGGTCTTCTCCTAATACAAGATTTCATGAGCCGGTCCGAGGCCTTGGATTCCGTCGGTTGCTTTAAAAAGCTGGTAAAAGGGTGTAGTTGATTGATGAATTTAGAACAAGTCAGTGCTGCCCAGCTTGTGAACGTAGAAGTCTTGAAACGTTTCGGATGGTCGATAACCCGCGCCCTCATAGACGAAGAGCAAATCCTCGTGTAATCAGACATGGTCTCTTAAGGTATGTTAATTTTACTTGTTGATAATTTCTTTATCTAATAATTTTTTTTTGTTCTTGTGACAGATGTACAAATCATAATTGTAGAGCCATGACTAATAACACAAATAGGATTGTTCTTCGTCTATGGAATTGTGATATGGCTTCTTGCTTGAACATGGTTGATATTGTTCGATCTCTTCGTGCTGGAAATGGCATCCCCCCAAGATTTCGACGTGGAGAGGCTCCCCAGAACCAACGGAGAAAAGCAAGAACCCAAAATGAACAAGCAAACATTAGAAATGTTCGTCAACGTCGCAACTAGAATTTTCCAGGCCTGTTATCGCAGGTCAACCATAGATACACTTAAGTGGTAAGCTCAATTTTTTTTTTTCGGTCTTTGACACAATCATTTTTTCGGAAGATGAACGTATTTTTTTTTATGTTGTGAACGAATTTTTTTTTACATTTTGATCTAATATTTTCTGAAAATAGTGTATGCGCACAATATATCCAGCCTATAATCTACTTGATATTTAATAGCAACCCGGTACTGAAACATAAACCATTAACTGATCAAGATATTAATGTCTACTTCCAATCCACGCTCCCATCTGATCTTTCCGGATAACAATCTATTTCAATCCATTTTTATAAAAAGGATTCCCTTTTCCATTTAATAAAAAGATATCTAGTTTTAGTCTCAAATAATTTAACCGTTTATTTCTTGGAATATATCACGATCGTGTTATTGGCTTGTACTATTTAAAATAAATGTATGACTATTGTTGTCTATGTGTTGATGAGTAATCAAGGTAAAGTGATAGAGTGCAATAGTATTTATTTTATGCAAGGAATAATAGAACTTGATTGAAAGAAAATAAGAATTGATGAGAGAGTTATATAAGTATATAAACCATCGCCAATGATAAATTTATAAAAAGATGACCTTAAGCTCTGTACACTCAAGAGATAACCTTCAAGCTTATTACGATTTTTTATTTTTTTGTTCAGACAGATACACCTGTCGTGTTTTGTTTGCAAGAAGGATCCTATTTGAGCCCTTAAGCAAAACTATATTGAACATTACTGAATTCAGTCACGATGGTATCTTCCAGCATTATTTGAACTCTGTCCGTATTCTCAAACCGATAATGATTATTATTTTTGGAGAGATTTGACAATCTTTTCAGAGAGTAGTGAAACATATTCGGACCATTGTGAAAAAAATCTAGCCGAAATAAAAGTAAATTTGAGATAAATGCATCAGGAAATTTATTATCCAACACGTTTATATTACGTACTTAGGCTAATTAAATTTGTCTACTGCATAATTACTTGAACTCTGAAGACAAATATGAATATACCATGACTTAGTCTTTTGTCTTTTATTGATAAGGACTCAAATGGAGAGCATGTTGACATAAACAGTAACATAACAAAAAGTGAGAAGATTTTTAAAAATTATAGGAGCAGCCGAGTCTTGTTAGTATTCTATATATCTAAATAATATTATACTAAATCATTCATTCAGATGGATTTTTATAATAGCGCACTGAACGTTCTAAGTATTTTCTTCTTTTTATTTATTTTTACAGTTGCAATCTATGAAAAAGCAAATAGACCAAACCTGGAAACTTGAGACGATGGCAGAAGTAAAAATCTAGTACGAGATAAAATTGAGTCCGGCGATATTTTTAGCTTACGACAACCAGGTTAATACGTTAGTATTGTACATTAACCTCATGGATTATATCTGCAGTACATACAACGACGATAAATAAAACCCTAATTGACAGTGAGTTCCGGTTCGCTTGGTATAATTGAGCTGTGCTAGCCTACATTATCCAGAGTGAAATATATCCGTACTTCTTTTGAAAAGATGTAGTTGATAAATTTGCTTTATAAATATTAGATTCAGTCAACTTCGAAATCCTGAAACCTTTTTTTTCTTAAAATTATAATTTGTGTGTTCAAGATGTGAATACTCAACAAGATATTATGAGAAGAGCTGTTGATGAGAAAGCCAAAAAAATAAACAAGAGCACAGTAACATTTAGGATTTTTAAGTTGTAACAGGCATAGCTTAGCGATTATCATCACCCACGTGTTAGCTTAAACCAGGTACGAAAAGACCATCAGAATCCTTTTGGTCGGCTCACATACGGCCCGTTGGCATGGTGGGGTCTGGATTATTTCTCCTACTTAGTTCGCACTAAATAAAAGTAAAAAGAAAAAACTAAGTGTAGAGATTGCAATAAAAGTAATCATAAAATAGTGCAAAACAAAGCAGACGATGCGATCATTATTAAACAGCCTAAAAGTTAAAGTGAATTCTATACAAACTGCATATTTAAACATTCATCAACAACTTATTCAACACTGTTACTTAGTTCGCATAAAAAGCAAAAAAAAAAAAAAAAAAAGGTTACGTAGAACGGGACGAATCAAATCAAACGTCTGCATTGAAACACACAAAGTTGTACTAGTGACAATCTTGAAGAAAGAGTACCTGAATGTTTCAGCCATTTTTTAAAAAATATAATAGTGCAAGATCAAAGCAGCATATGGAATACAAAGCATCTAAGGTAGAAGAAATCTAGACCTTGTCTTAGGAAGATAAGGTCAAAAACAACTGTGAAAACCGAATAAAAGGCTATATCTGGACAAACTCCAGAAGTTATCTGAGCATGATCACAATACTGTAATGCGTGTACAATTATTTGAACTATTACATAATATTCATTGGCGATCAAGCAATCAATGGTAAGATCTTATCATAAAAACTAAATGGTGTGCAATCACGTAGTTTTTTTTTTTTTTTTTCAAAAAAAAAAAAGTTAAATTTTAAATTTCTTCCTGGTAGTTCAATAGAGTATTTGTTTAGCTCTACTAGATAATATAATGCAGTTTATAATATGGTTCCATTAGTGTGCAACGAATAGTTACTATGTAACTGCGACTTGTATTAAAGTTGCTACAATATACATCCATAATATTGTCGAATGCCTTGAAAGCATATTTGTTATACACTGTTTCGAAGTTATGTGATAATCACCCCCTAAATCTCAGAGACGGTCAATTTTTTACCGTATCCATGACGGGCACTGCCTTTATTTCATTATTTTTGCCGTCTCTGTGAGAGATACTGTCCTTAATTCATTATTTTCACCATATCCGTGACAGATAGGGTCAATTTATTTCCGTTATCGACCGTATATTCGACAACATATTAAAGAAAGAAAGGGGAAAGGAAAGGATAAAGCCAATGAAAAAAGTAACATTCCAAAGAGAGAAGTTAGTGTTAATGTAACAGTTGGTATTGATAAAGAAAAAGAAATGAGAGCCGTAACATCATCTTTAAGTTCATTAATTCGTAATAATAACCCGATAATATTCGCACTTTTTTTATAGAAACTATTCGTTCAATTATAGAAGAAGCAACCAACTATACTACTGACTATGGTATTGCTGTCAGAAAGCTTTTCTTAGTATTCAAAAACTATAGCTTTGATATCAGCAATGACAATGTTATATCTCTTGTAAAATCAAAAGGAGAAAATATAAATACAATTATTCCTGATGGTTTCAACATACTACAAAATAACGCTTTTCTTAGGGACAGCCAATTTTTCCTTAGGGACAGCCAAAGTGCACGTAGTCGCAGCGTAAGATCTGAGATTTGGATGTTCTGTAGACCTGGGAACAAGGATATACAATCAAAGACTATGTATCAATTACAAATATATGTATACTAAACGATTTATACTTATTTTGACAATTCCATCATCACTCTTTCGCCTTTGAGCTCGTTTGATCTTAATCTTACGCAGAAATATTAAGGTTAAGTCCAAACGAGAAGCTGAAAGTAAGCTGGAAAACACATATTCTGGTTTACACTATGTTGTTTGTATATATTTCAAGTTGTTAAGTTATACTGCTCTCTTGATGTCTATTAAAGTATCATAATCCCAACATTACGACTACGCGCACCCTGACTGTCCCTAAGAAAATTTGGCTATCTCTAAGAGACACGACAAAATAATGCTCATCTGCCTCCTGTTTATGTCAAATGATTCGTAACTCAAATTATTTCAATAATCATTACAAAAAGTTATTCGATACAAAGCATTAACATATAATAAATCCAAGTTATTTTGGCGAGAGAGGAACTTTACAATCCACACTAGAGAAGAATATATTGCATCAAGAGCTCCTTAAGATTGTAACCTCGTGAACAAAACAAAATACCGCAATTAGACGCCTACGTTATGAGAATTGTTCTTCAAGTTTTTTGTACCAACTTTGGAAATATATGGAACAACAAAAAAAGTTGTCAAAACTGTTATCAAACTTTTTAAGAGTTTTACTTCGAATTCATTTGGCTCCCAAAAGAGAAGCACGATCACAAAAGTACAAGGCAGAAAAACAGCAATAGTGTAACACACGATGTAAGAAACCGTTTTTTTAAATAGCCTACCATTCGATCGTATTGGTATTATCAACAAAAACCGAAATGGAAAAAGAGCCCTTTTTAAGAATGAAGAAAGAAGACTAAAAAAGTATGCTAGAAAAGCTGAAGTTGATAAAATAAATGGTCACAAGTGGATTAGGAAATCCGAAAGTTGCCAATTCAGAATAAATACGTATAAAAACGTACTTTTGAAAGAGATAGATATGAATACTATTAGCTCCACATCTAAAACTAACCACAATTACTATCTTACAGAGGAGAGAGGATACAAAAAAAGATGCCCGAGAAGAACTTGAGGCTCCGGATGTCGAGCTAGAAATCATGGCGGATAGTAATATTTCAGCTGAGAAAAGACTGATAGAAATTGAGGATGGTAATATTAATGATGACGAAACAGCTGATACGTCCAGAAGACAGATAAAATCTTTGGTAGCTGTGGTACGAAATGTAATGTTCAAGAATTTCGGGAAAACAATCAACGAAAAGCATATACGAGCCATATGTTGTACTGATATTCAACCTAATGAGCTAGAAACATGCACCCTTATTGTCAATTTCATAATGCCATATATACCAGAAAAAAAGAACTGGAGAGTCTTGCCGTATCAATTGCCGATGGTTTTAAAGACGAATGAAATTTTCCATTGATGTGGATATAGCAAGTTTACTACTGCAGTATCACCTTTGACAAAACCTAGTCAACTTAACGCATTAAAAATGGATGCCCCTTCCTTTTTTTCGTTGTTTTTCTCATCTAAAAAAGGTCAAAATTCAGACATTTTTAACTATATTAACAATGTAATAGCTTTTAGACAAATTGCAAGTGAAAACAAGGATGTCGTGATTAGCTCTTTTTTAATATGCCCTTAATCGAAGGAATAATGGAAAACCACAAGCGAAATTTTGCCCATTGGTTTACATTTCTACCAGACGTCAAGACAGTTAGGTTGATTGGAACAAGAAAAAACTACCCCGCTTCAGGTACCATTAGACCTGGTAACCAATCAAATACGGAATCTTTAAAACGCAGTGACCAGTCCTCAATGATGCATGAACAATCTGTGCAAGTAAAAAGTTTAGAAGAAAATTCCAGTAGACTCAAGTTATTACAAGCTAAAGTCTTGGCGCTTGATGGTTTGCTGAAAGAAGCTTTCGAAGACAGGAGATTGAATATGTATCAGAAGGATATAACCAATTTGAAAAAAAGGTGGGTTCATCCAAACCATTACCAAGCATTGTCTCCCCAAAACCTTCGTTGTTAAATCGAGAGAGAGATAGAGTTTGGAAGTGGATCAAAGAAAGTCGATTTTTTTTAAAGATCGACTAATTATAAAGGAGATAGAAGCAACCATACTGATATATTATTAGAAGGCTCAAGAAGTATAGATAAACTCCAGAACGCATACGAAGAGCTTGTCGAGAATAGAGATACACTTCGCAATTTCTATTATTCGAGAAAGAATTCAATCAAAAAGAAAGGTTGAGTTACAAAAGAGAGAGTTTGTTGACAGATTACTTTCTAACGAAATAAAATACGTTCCCAACGACAAGTAATGCAGAAGCACTATGTTCGTGGGTGACCGAGGGTATGGCTTGGGATCCAGTATTAAAGGTCACTTGAAGTACGGGGGGATTTGGAAACCAAAAAAACATAACTTGTATACTTCTGTTGTTGAAACCAACGAACATAATACCTCTCAAACTTGTATTTTTTGCTTCAACAAAACATCACATCCAATTTCAATATTATCCGCAAAAAACAAGTCTGTCGTCAAAAGTATCAATTAACGTCAGTTTGCAACAGTAACTGTATATCAGTCAAGGTAGCATTTTCCTATGAATTAAGAGAAACTGTTTTCGCTTTAGCTATAGGAATATCGGATTAACAAGTCTTCTTTTTGGTTTACCTCTTCCACCCTTTAACCCTAAAAAATTAGTCAATTTAATACTGACCCCATTAACCATGCCGTCACATCTTTCCTCAGAAGAAACGATTATAGACACGCTATCAATAATAGCAATATTTATGAAGGTAAAGCACTATACTCAAAAGTATATTCTTGTGTTCTAATCTTATTTTTTATTTCATTCATACATATATTTCAGATAATTATTTCGTGAGACTTAAATTTTATTTCAAACTCATTTGCTGTATATACTAATTTTTTTTGAGACCCATAGTCCATTTACCCTTACAGTATCAGGCTTGGGGCAGATAAACGACAAGAAATTATGGTCAGGCTCTTTGTTAAATTGATAAATAAAAATAAGACCTCCTCAAATATGCTTTAGATTTATAAATCACCCTTTTGAAATTTACGCAATTATGGTAACATTTAAGACTTGTAATTTGATTTCCAGCAAAATGATTTATATTTTCGGCCTTGTTATTAATACAATTTTGACACTTTAAATTCAGACTGGGATTAGCTTTTTTATGAGACAAATTGAAATCATAATTCGGGCTATGTCTACTTGTTTCGGGTGAAATGAAAATGGAGTCGATGTAACCATTAAATCAAAATTAATCGACAGAAAGATATAGGGTCCTAACCCGATTAATCACAGGTTTCCCATACATTGTAGTGTTCAACTAAAATATTTGACCTATTTTGTATTACACGCTGCATTAGTTGAAATAATTAGTCCAATGTATTTCTTTTTGTGTGTTAGTGAAGAGCACAGGAATACTAAATGTTTACAAAATTTGAAAGTATTTTTCCTAGACTTCTTTGTTAGCAGAAAACACTAAATGCGTTTCAATACGTAAAAAAATAGTCGCCTAGCAATGAGGTCAGATAAACAGTACACAGCACTCACTTCCGATTTGTGCCTTTTTTTTTCTGTCTCTGTGCTTACATTTGAATCATGCACGGTGCCACAAACTTTGTTTGAAGTTTCGGGCGGAATAAATAAAGTCTCCGGGTTGGACGGACTGGGCATAAACAGAGACGAAGTTTTAGTTACACTTGCGCGTCGGTAACATTGAAACTGTTACTAGAGAGTGGTATGAGTATTCCAAACTTCAATTCCACATCATATAATAAATGTATCTGATTACTTAGTATTGCACTAGAATGTGGAAATAACTGATCATAATTTATGACCAGAGCAAAGTAATCAATTGTTGTAAATGCTACATTTCTGTGCTGTTTAGATTCTCTATATCCTGTGCAATTTAATATAATCTTATCAGTGCATACATTGCATTCAACAATGAAAATTAGAACTCGTGCCACGTATGGGCGAAGATCATTACTATAGTGTAAGATTGATTAATAAACTTGATGCATGCTATAAATGGTGCTTTTACGAAACACTGAGAATAACATGAATATTTCAATGAGTTATAAAACCACGGAAAAAGGTGGATGTCTTGCTAGCATGCTGTAATATTGTACGCATGAAGAAAGATCAACGTTCATTCAAGTTTTTTATGTATAGTCCTTCAAAGCAAGTTTAGACTTTACAGTATTTTTTATACAATAAACAGCTGATTTTAATTACAAGGCTGTTCTCATATGATGATGTCTATAAGCACCGCGAACTTTTTTTTTGGCACTGAAACCAGAGCATTTACAATAAGCCTCTTACGGGTTTCATCTTTTCCATTTCGCCCGTTTTTAAAGAAGGTCTGTGGTTGGTTAGCGGGAGGGTATCATGGACGTTAATTTTAAGCTCAGGACCATGGCATTATTTCCATGACTCCTTCACGAATATAATATTTCTGGTACCATCCTAATGATTTCCTTGATATATATATATATATGAATGATCACCAGTAGTTACACATGTCTTTTGATATTTGTCGTCATCAAATAAAGCAAGTATTTACAAAAAAAAAAAAAAAAAAAATGATGGCAGGTGGTTCCTTAATTTTTTTAATTTCTCGATTCATTAAAAATGCGGGGGAGAAGGCTAATCGTTGATCATGTTGCAGTACACAAGCTGCTGTCAAAATCTCTGTTTTGTCCGAAATTCGGAAATGAAAACATTGCTAAATATGCTCATTGGGACCAACAACAAAGTTTGATTTGCTTTTAATAGTGAGATTTAATTTTATAGCATGTTTTTTTTAAAGAGTGGGGTAAAAAAAAAAAAAAAAAAAAAAAAAAAAAAAAAAAAAAAAGAAAGCGGTCTAAATATAGTACTTCTAGATCGCTGTCGAGATTTAAATCTCATGTTTATCCCTATTATATCATCATGTGCCACGCGTTTTATTTATAAAATGCAACATAAAAAAAAGGATGCATGTCATTTATTCGTTTTGTAATTTGGAAAACAGGGTCCGGACTTACAAAATAGGTTACGTGAAAACGACAGATATGTCATTTGCCTGTGTAACCATCAGTGTGGATATGCGCACTAGTTCTATATATTTTTTTTTTAATTCTTGTCAGAATGTAAACCAATCCCAAGTAGATAAATAACCACCTATAACGATTTATGGCTATTATTTTGTAAGTCAGAAATAGAACACCAGCGAAACTTTTTTTTCGATATGCAAAAACGTATATCCACTAAGGTGGCGGGAATAAACTGGGACATTTTTTAGGAAGGGCACCCCCCAGAAATAGTTTGTGTTCCATTCCATTGGTTTTATGAGTGATTTTATCAGCACTTTGTTTGATTAGATTAATCGTTTCCCCGTATTTTTCATCTATTTCTCCGAATAAAGCCAGCTTAGCAAATCCACCAATAATAGAAAGTTGGAGATGTGCGTGTAACCTTCGATAAGATGATAACAAAAAATGCTCATCAGATCCAGAAAATCGATAACATCTTTTTTTTTAATGAATAATAGCAACGGTTAAACGATTTGGAAGATAAAAATTTATGTGATTTTAATTTTTATTATAATTTTTTTTTTTTGTAAAAAAAAGAAAAGGGGTGAATATGTATAGATTTTAAAAATAAAAGAGAAATATATAAGAGAAAATATAGAGAAAATAAGAAAGAGAGAATTAAGCTTCTTCCTTGACGATTCTGGCAACCAAATCACCAGAGTTCAAAGAATCACCTTCTTGTACAGCCACGCGCTCAACCTTACCAGCAACAGGGGAGGTAACAACGGTTTCCATCTTCATGGCGGAGAGGACAGCAAGAGGATCACCAGCCTTGACGTGAGAACCCTCCTTAGCACGGATCTCAACAACAACACCAGACATTGGTGCGGCAATATCTCCGGGGTTGGATAAGTTGGCTCTCTCACGTGTCACAATCTCTACAGCAGAGTTGCGATCGACAATACCCACAACACGAGCTTCACCGTTCAATTCAAAGTAGACATCACGCTTACCAGTGTTGTTAAGAGGACCGACAGCCAATAACTTGATGATCAAGGTCTTACCCTCTTCAATTTCAACATGGAATTCTTCGTTGATCTCAGGCTTGGATAAGAAGTAACGAGTAGGTAAAACAGAGAGATCACCGTATTGGTTAACCATATCACGGTATTCAGCAAAGACCTTGGGATATAAAGCAGCAGAGATAACATCATAGTCACGAATATTGGAACCATACTTTTCAACCAATTCCTGCTTCAACTTGGCCATATCCAAAGGAGCCAAAGTGGCACCAGGACGGGTATCAAGACGAACTTGGTCACGAATGATGTTGGAACGTAAAGGCTCGGGGAAACCACCGTAAGGTTGACCGAGATAACCTTGGAAGAACTCGACAACAGATGTGGGGAAAGAAAGAGTAGCAGCACGTTCTTCAACTTCGGGTCCAGTGAGACTGTTGGAAACCATGAATTGAGCCAAGTCACCAACAACCTTGGAGGAAGGTGTGACCTTGACAAGATCGCCACAAAGAGTGTTAGCTTCTTGGTAAGCCTTCTTGATTTGCTTCCATTGAGTACCGAGACCTAATTGTTGAGCTTGGAACATCAAGTTAGTGTATTGTCCACCGGGCATCTCATGCTCGTAGACACCAGAATCAGCAGCACGAACATTAGCCTCGAAACAAGAGTAGAGCAAACGGGCTTGTTCCCAATAAGAGTTAATGGCATGAATATCTTCCATACGGATACCGGTACCCAAACTAGTTTGTTCGAAACCAGCAACAATGGCACCCATAGCAGGTTGAGAGGTGTTACCAGACATGGAATCGATAGCAACATCAACAATATCAGCACCAGCGGCAGCGGCAGCCATCATGGAGGCAACACCAGTACCAGCGGTATCGTGAGTGTGAACATGGATGGGGAGATCAGGGAACTTGGCACGGATGGTAGAGACCAAAAGACGAGCAGCCTCAGGCTTCAAGACACCAGCCATATCCTTGATACCAAGAATATGAATACCTTCGTTGACAAGTTCTTGGGTCAAGTTGACATAGTAGTTCAAGTCGTACTTCTTACGTTCAGGGTTGGAGACATCACCAGTGTAACAGATGGTAGCTTCAACAACACCACCGGCCTTCTTAACAGCGTCAATACCGAGCTTCATGTTTTCAACATAGTTGAGAGAATCGAAGATACGGAAGACATCCATACCACACTTGACGGCCTTGTCACAGAACTCGTAGACAACGTTATCAGGATAAGAGGTATAACCAACAGCGTTAGCACCACGGAGGAGCATTTGGAAAGGAATGTTGGGAACAGCCTTACGAAGAGCAGCGAGACGATCCCAAGGACACTCGTGAAGGAAACGCATACAGACATCAAAGGTAGCACCACCCCAACATTCAAGGGAGAAAGCGTTGGCAAGGGCATGAGAAGTAGCGGGAGCAATACGCAAGAGATCTATTTTTGAATTAATAAATATATATAAAAAAAAAAATCATGCCATAAAAATAGTTTATAATACGTTACCAACAGTTCTCACACGAGTGGCTAACAAACTTTGATGAGCATCTCTCCAGGTGGTATCGGTGATCAAGACACCGGGGTAAGCACGAACAGCCTTAGCAAAAGCAGCAGGACCTTGTTCGACAATGATCTTACGCCAGCCTTCGGTGGCAGGGGCAGAGACATCGATGTCCTTGTTGCTTCCCTTTTCACGTAACACAGGAACCTCGATCTCATCCTTGAAGGATGGGTCACCTACCTGGCCCTTGATCTGAGAACCATTGACTACGACATCACCCAAGTAACCCAACATACGTTGAGCACGGTTTTGGAATTGAACAAGACGGAAAAGATCAGGAGTGTCATCAATGAAGGTGGTCCAGCAGTTACCGTTGATGAAGGTATCGAAAGTCAAGAGACGTTGCAAGAAGGGAATGTTGGTCTTGACACCACGAATTCTGAACTCGACAAGGGCACGGACAATCTTTCTACGGGCAACTTCGTAAGTAGAACCGGAACAAGTGACCTTGACCAAAAGAGAATCGTAATGAGGAGTAATGATGGCACCGGCGTAACCTGCACCACCATCGAGACGAACACCGTTACCACCAGAGGAACGGTAGACCTCAATCTTACCAGTATCCGGTTGGAAATTTAATTCGGGGTCCTCAGTGGTGACACGACATTGAATAGCAAAACCACGTTGACGAATACGTTGCTGAGTCAAACCCAATTGAGGTAAAAGAGCACCAGCGGCAATTTGAATTTGAGCAGCAACAATATCAATACCGGTAATTTCTTCAGTGATAGTATGTTCGACTTGAATACGAGGGTTGATCTCGATAAAGTAATGACGGTTTTGGGCATCAACCAAGAACTCGGCAGTACCAGCATTCTTATACTTTACAGCCTTGGCAATCTTGATAGCATCGGCTAAGATGGCTTCACGTACCTTGTTATCGAGGTTCTTGGCAGGAGCAATCTCCACAACCTTTTGATGACGACGTTGGACGGAACAATCACGCTCGAACAAATGGACAACGTTACCAGCACGATCAGCAAGCAATTGGACTTCAATATGTCTGGGTTTGTCAAGGAAACGTTCGATGAAGACGGTACCATCACCAAAGGCAGAGAGAGCTTCGGATTGAGCACGAGTGAAGGAATCTTCCAAAGAAGCCTCATCACGAACAACACGCATACCACGTCCACCGCCACCCATAGCAGCCTTAATAATAATAGGGAATCCATGCTCCTTGATGAAAGATTTAGCTTGAGTGAAATCACTGACGGGACCAGGAGTACCGGGAACGACAGGAACATTACAGTTCATGGCTTAAAATAGTAATAAAGTAAGCATCCGAACAAAAACAAAAAAAAAAAGAAAAAAGCGTTACTTACCGATGGTTCTGGCTTTGGTCTTGTCACCTAAACTATCAATGACTTCGGCAGAGGGACCAATGAAGGTGATACCAGCAGCCTCGACCTTACGAGCAAATTCAGCATTTTCAGACAAGAAACCATAACCAGGATGGATCATGGAAACACCACGTTCCTTGGCGATACGGACAATCTCATCTTGGGCCAAATAAGCAGCGACAGGAGTATATTGACCAATCTTACCGATTTGATAAGATTCATCAGCCTAACAAGAAATGTTAGAGGTAAGCCCAAATCTAATCTCAGAGGGTTCGGATATAATATTTACCTTGTAACGATGCATGGACAATCTGTCTTCGTGAGAGTAAATAGCGACAGTCTTCATGGAGAGTTCGTGTGCTGTACGGAAGACACGAAGCGAGATTTCCTACATGAAAGTGTTAATAGTTGCTATATTTGTAAGTTTGTGCTCATGAATCTTACACCACGGTTGGCAACCATCAATTTACGAAGGTTACCCATGACTTCACTATTTCTGCGAATAGTTTCGACGGAGTGTTCACGAGCAGGAGGCATAATATTTGTTTGTGAATGAAAGAAGAAAAAGGAAAAAAAGAAGTAAAAGAAAAAATAAATCAAGCTGTTTATATAACCTTACCAGATTTTTTTTTTTTTTTTTTTTCTCAGGAGGGTCCGGTAAAAAAAAAATTCTTATCCCGTTTGATTTCATGTGTCATCATATGTATTATTCTTTACAATAGAGTCCCCGATATTTTTTTTTTGTTCTTTTCCTTTTGGAGAGTTGCTGGTTATTGGACCTCCCCCCCCCAAAAAAAAAAAGCTTATCTAGAAACGGAGATTGTATTCAAAAAAAAAAATAAAATTTATTTAAGGTTTTTATCCACCCATCAAGTTCATATGTTCAAGTAAGAATATCTCCAAATCTTGCCAGCCACCACCCACACGTATCAAGACCTTGTTTCTTTTTTGTGTTTGATTGCGGTTATTGTCATAGGTCATTAGTTTACAAGTATAAATTTTTTTACCACCTCCCAGCGATGGAGTTAATTCATTACCAAAATAATATCGTCCTTCATGCTGTCCTGCTGCCTTTTGACATTGAATGGGTATTGGGCTAGAATTAATAATCATTCCAATTTCCTTATCAAGTGCATCTTTGGGATTGGGTCTATATTTACCAGCTTGTTGTTGTGGTGGTTGCTTTGGTATCATGGGTGACCCAATACGATTCAGTCGATAGTTGGGCGTCTTGGGTCGAGGTATCAGTGAAGACGCTGTGGGGGTCTTGGGTCGAGGTATCATACTAGGTGTCCCACATCTCCTGGCATTCGGTGTCATCGATCTTGTACTCGTAGATAAGCTACTTTTAGATCTCGCTGAATTATGTAACTGTTGTTGGCTTATGGTGGGTGTCTGCTGTCTTCGAAAATCACTCGTATCAAAATCATCATCTTCCTCTTCTTCTTCCTTCACTGATCTCTTGAACGTGTCAGATGTGCTTGGTACCAGGTTACTTCGCTTCTCACGAGACAGTGGACTCATCTGCTGTGATCTACCATACACTGGACTAGGCGACTTACTACTATTCATACTCTGCCAGAGATTCTTACTAGGGTTCGTAGGCGTCTTTCGATGATACTCGTCCATCATATTAAACGGAATAGGTGAAGAAGACGCCACCGACGAGATATACGGACTTCGGGATCGATCCATCGTATTTGGTTCAGGCGACTTCATCAAGAACTGGCTTGTGTCACTTCTATCACTAGTACGTGACCAACAAATAGAGGCGGGACTCACAGGTCTTGTATCGGGTAAATCTTTCTTTCTCAGGTTATCCATGGTAATTTTCAATTGATTCCAGCGATTTAACATGGCCTCATGACGGTTTAAGGTTAATACGTTTCGGGACACACGTGCTGCAATACCGTTCCCCAACATCATTAGCATTTTAGCAATTGAAGGTGTATAATACTTGTATTTGGCATCAAAGTTCTTCTCCACCGAGCGCAACTTATCCAAAGAGGTGCTGGTATTCGATCCCGTAGAAGAATTACTGGTGGTGGTTGAGGTCGAGGTGCTAGTGGAAAGCCCCGTCTCTTTTATTTGTTGTATCATCAAATAACATTGCGAAACAGTTTTATCTAATCCATCCATCATCCCATCCACTTGATCAGCCACTTGTTTAAATACAATCAACCAGCGGTCTTCCTTTAATTCAATCTTTAACTCATCAATTTCTAAACGCAATGATTCCCAACGGTCTTGTACCAGCAAGTGTTTACGGCCTAATAACCCGGAGCTGTCTTGCGGTGGCGAAGTAGACATTCTGGTATATACTTTCTCGACAAGGTTAAACAAGGGTCCTACTTGGTTGTCGATTTCGATCAGAATACCGTCCTCCTTCTGCTCTCCTTGAGACACCGTCTGATGCCGTTTCTCTTGGTACTGGAATATCATGATGGATAAATCATCAATCTGGAAAAGTATGGTCGACATCAGAGACAGCAAGTCGGATTTCTCATTTAATTCTTCCATCGATTTTTTCACGCTACTGATAAAATGTTGTAATCCAGACCATTCCGATTGAATCTTGGTGATAGTGACGGTGGGATCGTCATGAATGATTTCATTCAGTTCGATTAACAAAGGTATCACCGGTACCATTCTTTGACACGTCTTTAATAAAGGAGCCATGTCTGGAACTTGCTGTCGCTTGATATTCTGCTCTATAGTAAATGCTGTCATGTGTGCTACTTCTAACCATTGCATAATACGGGTCGTGATCCCTTGAAATTGACATGTAAGCTCACTGATCGACAGTCTATCATGTATCTGGAGTAATTGTTGTACTTCTTTATCTGGGATTTCGAGTTCGTTTAATGCATCATACACTGACTCTCCTGTCGTTGTAGTCGTCGTCATGGAAACGGATTGCGTGGGTAATAAATTCAATGCCATCACTCTATTTTTCTTCTTTTCAAAAAAAAAATTAGTCACAAATGTCACGTTTACATATTTTTTTAGTTTTCTTACTTTTTTATAAAAAAAAGATGAGTTGTGTTTTTGTTTTGGTAAAAAAAGAAAATGTAAGAGATGGGAAAAGGGAGTCTAATGGGTATTTGTTATTTCTATTTGTTTGCAGGTTGGGTATAAAATATAAATGCTATGACATGCAATAAAGAAAGATAAATATATTGTTGTAAAAAAAAAAAAAAAAAAGAAAGAGAGAGAGAAACAACAACAAAAAAAAAAAAATCTGAGCTATAAAAAAAAAGAGAGCAAAAATTTATTTATAGAACCCACACATGAAAAAAAAAAAAACGCGCGTGTTTCTATTGGTACTATTTGAATGCACCTCTTTGCATTTTTTCTTTTTAGACGTAGAGTTTAATTAATTCGTCAGAGACTCCAGAGGGAGTCAAGACACCTAAATCGGTCAAGAGTAAAGTAATGTATTGAGGAGGTGTATAATCCACAGAAGGGTTTGACAGGGCTAATTCTTCCATAGTCTCTGCTTCTGACGTGGTCGTAAATGACTTGTCTCGCTTGGAGGTGAATGTCACAATCTCTGGTGTCTCTGAGGGAATATCGTATTGATTTAAAGGATACACACGCACAAACTTATAACTCTCGGCAACCGCATATACAGGTTTACTCAAGGCTTTGGCTACCAACGCAATTTGAAATGTACCAATCTTGTTCACAATACCTCCATTTTCAACAACTCCCTCTGCACCAACAAACACCATATCTACCTTGTCCATGATGTATCCTACGGCTGAATCCAACACTGCTCTACAAGGGATGCCTGCCTTTCTCAACGCAGCCACTGCTTGGATACTAAGCGATAATATGTTAATAAAACTATTCTTCTCTTCTCTCATCTCCCTACTTACCCGTCGCTGTTAGGGCGGCCTTCAGTCACATACACCTTGAATCGTTTATGTTGTACATTGGCAGCATGATACAAGACGCTCATAATGACACGCGAGTAACCTTGTACTAAAACTACAGCATTGTCATTGATGAATTGGGCACCGATAGCAGCCGCCTTTTCACGGGCAGAAGCAGCCTTGCCCAAAATCAAGGCAGCTCTGGATAATAAATTTTCCTTGAAGTCTTCAAAACTACCTGCCTCTTCCGAGAGCTTAAATTTAAGGTTGTGTTAGTAAACAGCAACAAGACAGTTGTATCTCTATCCATTTTTTTTTACCGAGAAATCATGAGAGTTACGGGTGACGAATCTCATAAATAAATCAACACCGGCAAGAATGGCGATGGAAGCCTTGTGTTGGTTGTCGCCTTGTGTTTGAGGTTCCTCACGAATGGATTTGGCAGCTTTTTCCAAGGTTTGCATAAACTCGGACATGGTGGGTGCTTTTTATTTGATTTTTTTTTGTTTGTTTCGCTAATGAATTTAGTTCCTGTACTTTCGCTTGTGCTCATGTGCTCTTTACCGGTACTGTGTTGAACAAAATCAGTCAAGGCCTTGAAAATGGCTACGGGCGTAGAGATTTCCTTTTTGTAAAAAAAAAGAATGTTTGGTCAACATGATTGTCATTCTCTTTCCATTAGACTAATACCTACAGTATCATTTAAAGAGGTTTGGTACGCTGAAACAACATTATAAGGTGGTGCCATTTTTATATATATAAAAAATAATAATAAACAAACGTATGGAACAACAAAAAAAGGTTTTTTGAACAAAAAAAAAAGTGACTTGTTAAAAAAAAAAACGTCGCTTTATTTTTTTTTATCATTTGTTCGTTAATAGCTTTGCTTTACAAAGAAAATGAATGCTTCACAAGACAACGACACACTAATGGATAGCCAGGAAACACCACCCCCTCAAACACCCATCGAAAAAGCTCAAGTGGATAAAGAGAAAGAAATGGCTGAATTGCTAATGACGATGGATAATTATAAGGCCATTGTACTCTATTAAGTCGCTCCCTTTTTAACATTTTATGCTAAAAAAAAAGTGTACTTCTAGATACCCGATGCCGTCATTGACTATTACTTGAATAAAACAGGGTTTGACTGTGACGACGCTCGAATGTAAGACTACTCACTCTTACCTATAACAACCAAATTATAATATATCTTCTAGTAAAAAACTATTTGCTTTGGCAGCTCAAAAATTCATTGCAGATATAGCAACAGATGCGTTCCAATACAACAAGGTCAAACAATCCAGTGCACGTACCACCACTAAAGCCAACAAGGTAACATTCATATCTTTCTCTGCTAAACAATTACACGTATTAAAACCTTTAAACAGGAAAAGAAAATTGTCTTGAATATGGATGATTTATCTTGTGCCTTAGCTGAATACGGTGTCAATGTCAAGAAACCTGATTTCTATTAAAAATGTCCATGAATAAATTACGCGAAAGAAAGATGGATGTAAAAATAATTAATACTGACGAGTTTACACTGATATGAGTGAGAGGGTATAAAAAGCAATGCATTTATTCATTCTTAGTGTCTGATCTGGTTGCGGGTATACCCAAATCATTCACCAATAAGATTACTCTCTTTTTACTTTTTGCTGCATGCAATGTATCATCAGACAAGATCGGCAACGCGAGAGCTACCACATGATCTTATCATCACAATGGCTTTCTGTCTATTTATACAAATATTTTTTCCATACAAAGACCTTATTATACAAGCCATACGTAATTGACTCCCCCTCCTAAAAAACCCCTTTTGGATACCTCAGTGGATAGTTTAACTTTGAAAAATACCATAGCAACAAATGCTTTATATTTAGAAGAGTTGGAAATGTTGTGTGACTCTAGCTCGTTCTTCGTATTATAAGTCTCTCAAAGACCACAAAACGCTGTTAAGACTTGGCAAAAAAAAAAAAAAAAAAAAAAAAAAAAAACTAGATCTGGGTCTTTATCATCATAAAAGCAAACACTGTATGGGTAGTTTGTGATAATAACCTATGTCATAATGCAGAATTTACAATTTGTCACATTAATTAAAAAATCTGAGTTTTTTTTTATGCCCTATTACTTTTTTTTATTGAATTTTGAGACGGAAAACTAAGCTGTTAAAAAGTTCCCTTTGCTTTTGTCATTACCATAATGGTCCTTGTCTTGACCCCTTGTTCTACCCCTTTATACTCTTGTACTCACGGATCCTTTTTCTTTCCCAAAAATTGGGTTCATGCTCCGAATCTGATTCAAAAATCATAAGAGCTTCGCTTCCCTGCCACCTTTGCAGCATTTTTATTGTTGGCAAAAATTGCTGTCCACAAATTTAATAGTGCCTCGTATAATTTTGATTCCAAGTGACGAAAGATGCATCATAGACTGTAAGGAGTTGTTTCGAATAGTCATTTACATCTATACAAATCCATCCATGTGTATTATGCTTTTTTTTTTAGGTGGAACCATGTATTTATAAATAATCATTCAATAATTGCATATTGACTTGAAACCTGTTTTTTTGTTTATATTTATACTTATTAACTTGAATGCAACCTAGAACTGTTTATTATCGATAATAGATGTGAACAACTAATTAAACCACTTTTATCGTCTATTTGACATCACCCTCTTGATGCAGACCTGAATTATCTGTGAAAGAAAAGGAAGTTTGTAAAACAATGTCACGACAAACTTCTACATTGGGGTGTACACAAATGCGGCTGTGATTTATGTTCTTTTCAAGGCCATAGATTGACCGAACGGGCTCTTACAGGGATCGAGTTTTTAAATCATTTAAAGGTATCCAATCGTGACAGTAATACTTAATACCAACTCGCGCTTTTGAACCTCTCAATTTTGCATTAATCATAGACCAAAAAAAAAAAAAAAAATAACATAGTTTATTATGGTTTGGTGTCCTAACTAACTATTCAAGCCATCAGTGACAAAAAAAAAAAAAAAAAAAAAAAATCGCGTCTCTTAGGGACAGCCAGGGTGCACGTAGTCGTAATGTTGGGATTATGATATTTGAATAGACACCAAGAGGTCAATATAACTTAATAATTTGAACTAGATACAAATATATCACAATCAACATAGCTTAAACTAGTATATGTGTGTTGTAGCTTACTTTCAGCTACTCGTTTGGACTTTACCTTAATATTTCTGCGTAATATTAAGATTAAACGAGCTTAAAAGCGAAGAAGTGATGGTAGAACCGTCAGACCAAGTATAAATCATTCAATATACCTACAGAAGTTATATCCAACACATTTTCAGTCCTTTTAAATTTTTATGGATTTGGTACAACAAAAGACAGATTTTTTCTAGATATATCAAGGAAGACAGCGAGCTGCGGAAGCGATGGTGAACATTTTGGTGCACGGTACTTCAAAGTATAACAAACGTGAAGCTGCAGGTGAGTTGATCGCCGAAAATAAAATATCCAAAGTATGCAGTCAATGTTATTTTGATGACCTAAAGGTGATTAAAACCCCCCGGATTCAAAGGTAGTGGAGTTCTTTGCTGTCAAAAATGTGAAAAGGTGTGACAAAGGGATGTGAATGCTGCCAGAAATATGATGATTATCTCAAAGGCGATTTGGTCAGGCGAAGGAAGACCAGGCTTTTAAACCCAAAAAAACTAAACAATAAGCCTAATATTTTCCCATTATCGTATCGTCGTATCAAACACGGTTTCCTTTTGTCCAAAAAAGTAAACCAGCATGAAAATTAAAACTTTCAACTGGTTGTGCAGAGCTGCCCAAATAAAAGTACGTTAGAATGCCACGAAAAAAGTGTGTACAAAAAAAATTAAATAAAAAAGACGTAGGTGTAGACATTCTCGAGTTTACTTGAAGTCAGAATATTTACTTTCTACAAGTTGTTGTTTGGTGTCAGCCATGTTGTGATGAGAGTAAACGAAAGCTTCGCGAAAGAAACACAAAAATTACGATGCAGAAATATTCAATGCAAAAACACGCGAAATGATGACGTAGATAACATTCTTCATGCAGAACTTGAAACCAATCATGACTGACGTGAAGGTAAATATACTGGCTTCAAGTAAGCTCTTGACTAAAAAAAAAAAAAAAATCTGCAGACGGAATAGTCTCAAAGGGATACATCGTCAAAGAAGCAATACAATACTTTTTTAAATGTCATTATAACAGCTGGTCAAACATAAATGTGTTGTCCTTCATTTCTCATGTTTACTTTTTTTGAGCAAACCCAGCGAGCTAATCAAGTTGAAGGACGCATTAATTGATATTTGGACACACAAGACATAATACAAAAAGTGCAAACTTTGCTTGATCGAACAAGCTATCAAACCTTGTAGTAGTATTGATGGTCTTTTCTTCTGTTCAATTTTAATGTCTTATTATTTTAAGTTTGCCGATTAATCCTAAAACGTAAAAATGAGATTTATCAAATTTGTTCGATTCAATATTCACCATAATTCAGTAAAAGTTCCATCGGTTACACGTTAATAATCGTTGATTTACTTTGTACATAAAGATACGAACTGAGAATGTCCAATACGACTTATTTAGTTATAGCAACAACATAGAGCCCATCCCCCCCACAAAAAAAAGACATGCTAATAAACTCATGTTCCTCATAAAAGTTATCTGTGGTAACTACACTCAATGAAGAATACCCACGATTATTTTATAGCTCACATTACGTCATGGAATGAAAATGCCCCAAAGTTTAAAATAAAAATAAAAATCCATACCCGAGAAATGTGCTCATTGTTCCGATATACATTTATTTATCTGTTATACAACACTTAAATGACCTTCATAAAACACTATAAAGACACACACAGATCATTGAGTTTAGTATGTGTATACGTCATGCAGACTACACAGGATTTACACACAATGAGCACCTTTTTTTTTGTATATGACGCTAAAAAAAGAGAGAGAGAGAAATCACGAGAGACACTTGTCAAAGGGCACTCTCAGGCACAGTTGGAAGCGGCGGAAGAAAGTAAAAAAGAAGGTGAACACAAAGATTGCGTAATGAACGTCATACCTTGGAACGAGAGATCAGTTCACATCATGTATATTTTACTTGATAGTGTGTGAGATAGAGAATACTCTTTTGATAAACAAGGAGAGGAGATAAATGATTCTAGTGTTGAATGCAGAAACTACAAATAAACTTGTAAATCATGGAGCAAGCAAGCGCATTTAGTTCTATAAATGGCAAGGCGTTTTGGTGTACTCCGCCAAGAAAGGGATCTACGTTTATTTTGACTCTTTTTTTCTGGTTGTTTCAGAAACGCTTTTTTTCTCTATTTCTTTTTCTTTTTTAGTTTTTCTTTTTTAAAAAAAATATATATATTTAACAAAATGCAGGTGGCAGCTACAAATTATGCTAAAGGAAAAGTACTTGGTAAAGTAGGCGATCACCTTCACAAGAACCAAAGGAATTATGAGACGGATCAAGAGATTATTGCGGCTACTCAAGAAGCAGCGGCCAAACAAACGCATCACTGGTGGAAAAAAGATAAAGTATTTACTCCTGACATGTTATTGAGTAAACACGACCGAAAGATTCTCCTCAAGGTCAAGAACCGCGCTTGGTATCTGGATCAAGGCTTCCATTGTTGTTGTTTTAATGTTGGGTTGGATGGCCTGGTGGGTTTAATACCCGGTATCGGCGATGTGATTGGAACAGCCTTTTCTGTAGAATTAATCAGGACAGCTGCAAAAGCAAACTTACCCAAAGAACTGCTTGCTAAAATGATGGTGAATGTCTTGTTTGATTTCATGGTAAGCAAACAATTTACACAATAGATTTAGGTTCTTTTTTAATTAACACCAAATCTAGATTGGATTGACACCCGTTGCTGGTGATATTCTTGATATATTATTCAAGTGTAATATGCGTAACGCTGCACTGTTGGAGGAATATTTAATTTTGCGAAGACGAGACGAGATTCGGTTGGAAAAAGGTGAACCCGCTGCTCATGCTCTGATGGATGGCCCACGTCATGGTGACACAAGTACATCATCGACAACACCAGTTCCGACCCACGTTGTCAACCATACTGACCCTCCGACTATTACTGAACTAGATGCAGAGGGACAACCGGTAAAGGACGATGATAAAAAGAAGTATGGTACATTCTTTGGCAAATGGAAGTCGTAGTTTATTCACAAGTTTTTTTTTTAATTCACCGCTATGCACAAACATTTTTTTTTTTTTTTTTTTTGACCACAATAAAAACACAACTTTATATTTTTGGTATAAATAATGTCAATAGATCCACAACCCATTACCTTTCAGCATCATGTGTTTGACTTTTCATTTCATCCTAGTCGGAATCTAGTTGCAGTAGGATTAATCAATGGACAAGTGGAATGGTAAAATAAGTAATACATGCACAAGGAAAGGGGATATGCCTCATTGATATCCCGTCGTTTTTATTTTAGTCATGAGTATTCAGAAGAGACTAATACATTAGCCTGGACAACACAGGCCTCGAAAAAGTCTTGCCGAGGGGTGGAGTTTACCAACGACGGAGCTCATCTCATGTCGATATCTCGAGATAAGTCTATTCAAGCACTGGACGTAGCCACGGGTCGCCTGCTTTACAAGATTCCCAAAGCGCACAAGTATGCGATTAACAAGATTTGTAAACTGGACACGAATCTAACAGCAACAGGTGATGATGAAGGTATTGTCAAGGTAACAAAAAAAAAAAAAAAAAAAGAAGAGTAGAAGGAGAGGATATAATAATAAAGACTATGACAGATATGGGATATGAGGACGTGTAAGGCGACAGGAGAGTATAAGGTGCATGAAGATTTTGTAGCGGATATGGAATACAGCCAAAGTAATTTATTAGTGGCAGGAGGAGACGGAGTGATGTCAATATATGATATTCGGAAGGCTAATAGCACGTTGCAAACAACGGAAGAACTAGATGATGAATTATTATCCATGACGGTGGTAAAAGAGGGCAATACAGTGATTGCAGGTAGTCAGAGCGGAGCCTTGTACATGTGGCAATGGAACGCATGGGACAGTGTCAAGAAATGGATAGGTCACCCAAGTAGCGTGGATGCTCTATGTAACATTGACGAAAATGCTATTTGTACTGGAGCCAGCGACGGATTATTACGGTATATTTCCATCTCTCCACAAAATTTCGAGGGTGTGTTGGGGGACCACGGACAGGACTTTCCGATCGAGTGTGTAAAACTTAATTATAGCCATGATTATTTGGGTAGTTGTGGGCATGACTTACGATTAAGGTTCTGGAGTATTCATGATAAAGACCCTGATACTCATCAAAAGAGACAGTATGAAGAATTAGATGAACCAGTTATGAAACGACAAAAGACACGTGAGCACTTTTTTGATGATTTATAACACATCATGTTATTTTTAAAATTATCATTCATTTTTATGATATTATCATCGCACTACTTGTAACACATCCAAATACCTTATCTTGTTATATCTTAATTTAGAAGAATTCCCGTCCTGTGGGTAATCCTTAGCCTAAAGGCTTGGTCTCTTGAAACTCCTACCTGTACCCCCCAAAAAAATATTTGGGGGAAAAAACAAAATAAAAATGGGAAAGCCTGTTTCAACTTTTTTTTTTTTTTTTTTTTTTTTTCTTCATCTTTTTCTCTCTTTCTTCTTTAACAAACACTGATGTCTGCCAATAACCTTTCTACTTCTCCTCCTGTCGAGAAAATTAATCGCAAGTATATATATATCTTGGATAGATTCTTTGGAAGACTTACCTAAAAACTTGTATAGGTTTGGAGAACCAATCAGCTTTCCCCTCCAATATTAGCAGATTTGATGTCCAAGATATCGACTTGGATGGCTTATTAGCCAAGAATAAGGTTTGGGCCAACTCTGTCTTGCAAGAAGATCCCAACTTTTTTAAGCGTATTGCCAATGCGCAAAAACCCAAGATCCTTTGGATTGGTAATAATATTCTTTTTTTTTATTATTATTACAAATACAACTGATTCTAATATAACAATGTTATATAGGTTGTTCTGACTCACGTGTACCAGCAGTAAGTTTGATCATATAAAGGCTGTCATGTAGTCAACTAATCATGCTCTCTATAAAAAAAAAAAAAGAACTCAATCTTGCAGCTTGGTCCAGGTGAAGTGTTTGTACATAGAAACATTGCCAATGTGGTAAGTCACTCTGATCTCAATTGTTTGTCTGTGTTACAATATGCTGTCGAAGTATTAAAGGTCGAGCACATCATTGTCTGTGGTACGTAACAATTTATTTATCCCTGGTGTTGGTGCACGCTACGGTGCGAGCGTGAGACTAAAATAATATTTCTTTAATTAGGTCATTACAACTGTGGTGGTGTGGGTGCTGCTCACGGACACGGACAATATGGTCTTATCGACAACTGGCTCCGAAACATCAAGGACGTTTATAGACGTAAGTAGGCCTGTGTGGGGTTGAGATTTTTGGGGGGTCGAGCACTAGGATAAAAAAGATATTAACTTGTGTAACACATTAGTTCATAAGAAAGAATTAGAAGAGATTGACGATAGTACTGCTCGTTTACACAAATTGATTGAATTGAATGTGATCAATTCAGCAGAGAACGTCTGTCACTCTACCATTGTTCAAAATGCCTGGCAAAATGGCCAAAAGTTGACTGTTCATGCTTGGGCTTATGATATTGAGACTGGGTAAGTTTTTGTATGTGTGACCCAGATCTAAATCTAACTTGAATATTCTAGAACCGCAAAGAAGTTGGAATGGGCTGCTAGTGATGGACGTACACTTCAATCCATCTATCAAACACAAGAATCTCATCATTAAGCAATAAACAATAAATAATCAATAGCAATAGCAATAATAATAATAATAAAAAAAAAAAAGAATTATACCAAGAGAAAAGAAATGCTTTACTGCTTTTTCATTTAAAAAAAAAAAGAAGGTTCAAAGCGCGATATTCTTTACTACTTTTGGCCATGCATTTTGGGTTTGACAGATTCTTGGGAAAGCTAAAGATCGAAAAACCATTAATAATTCAACGATTGGCATGGTTACCAAAAACAAGTTTTTGGTTGAGCCAAGGAGGTGGGGGGTGAGTAAAGAGAGGTTGTCAATGATTCACTTTTTGACAAGGGAGGCCCTTACAATTGTCGCGCACATGGAGAACAAGACGTTAAGGAGAATAATTGTAGATCCGATTTTATTATCGTTTCTCTCCCTTCGCAAAGTAGTGTTTTGTCAAAACCCCTTTTATATTAAAAATATGTCTGTTTGCAAAAAAAAAAAAAATCTCATATAAATACTGCTGCTGGTCTATTCTCTTTCTTTCTTTCCTAACCCTTCTCTTTTATTCTCACTCCTTCTTTTATTTTAATGGATATTCTCGAATTGATCCACATTGAGACACAACAGAATCAATGTAAACCTCATCAATGTACTGTAGTCAATTGTAAAAAGGCCTTTGGCAGACGTTCTGATCTTGCTCGACATTTACGCATACACACCAACGAAAGGTAAGCGAAAATAAAGATGAGAAATGCAATGCAATGGCTAATAATATTACGAATAGACCATACGTATGTCAGGAAAAAACATGTGGCAAAAGCTTTATCCAACGCTCTGCACTAAAAGTTCATCTACGCACTCATTCGGGTGAACGGCCTCATGTCTGTGAATTCGGAGACTGCAAAAAGAATTTCAGTGATAGTTCATCATTAGCTCGTCACAGGTAAAAAAAAATTAGATCGATGATAATTTGGATGATTGGACCCTAAAAAAAGTTTACACCCCCTTTTTAATCTACAGACGAATCCATACTGGGAAAAGACCATACAAATGTCGTCATGAGGGCTGTAATAAGAGTTTTGCGCGCAAAACCATTTTGACCACACATCAAAAGACTTCGCATGGAACTACTACAAAGCGAACCATGCTTCAATGGAGACCATGTAACGAGATTCCCGAACTCTTGAAAAGATCGCCTTTACCTTCTCCCATTATTCAATGGAAACATCAGTACCAATACCGTGCTGAAGAAGAAGAAGACGACAGTACAGACGATTCCTCTGCATCGCCTCAACAAGACGAATTAGCTTCGTTTTATTATTCTTCGCAAACCAATGCCTTACCAAAATTATATTCCAGTGAAAACACCTTTCAACAAATTCCCTCGTACTTTTATCGTTCCTTTTAATCTTCATTCTATTCATTTATGCTTTCCTGTCCTTTATACAACTATGCCTTTTTATGTTATTTATGTTTTATATGTGTATATAATTTCATTTGAATAAAATTTATTCAACCTCAATCTTTTTTAATTATAGGGGGGTATCTAGCCATTTTGATACACAAGGGGTGAAAAAAGACTTAATAATTTTTAATCAGTCCTCCTAAAGACTTTATCTTATTGTTACTCTAAATAAAAAAGGGGTAAAAAAGAGTAAACAATAATCTCCCAGCGTTTTAAACAAACAAATCCCCCAATGTAATGTTATCCTCCCCTTTTTTTTCCCATCATTGTTTATTTTCTTTTTGTACACTCATAAATGGATACTCTAATTGAATTACTCGAAACACACAACATGTCCAATAAACAAACTTATATTAAAACCATTTTATTATCACAACGCTTAAAATACATGGTATCACAGCTCAAATGTCAACAACAAGAAGAAGAAGCTACATCTCCTACAGAAACAGTGGTTGCATTTGGACAAGAAGAAAAAGATAAACCGTTGCCTAGTCCACCGTCCTTATACATGATGTCATTTGATTCTGCTATTGATATAGGTCCTGTACGCAATAAACCTTTACCAGCAATAACACATTCCATCATCCATGTTAAAAGGGTAAAAAAAAAAAAAAAAAAAAATACTCAACAAGACATGCTTTACATAAAAAAAAGAGAACTTACGCTTCGGAGTAGAAATATAATGGCGTAAAAGGGTTATTGACTCGGTCATTTCAGATTCATGATATACTCGTATCTCGAAATTATTCATTGGCAACATCATGCTTTGTGAAACTATTTGTGTGCAAGGATAAAAACACAGGACAGATCAAACAAGTCTTAAAAGTGTCCATGACAAGTCATCATCGGCATGATTTATACGTGATACCCCAATGCACATTTACATTTCATCATGCACATACTATGCTAAGTAAAGCACAAAAGGCACGAGACAATCTATTACTATGTGAAGTGACGGATCGAGAAATCCAATCCGCTTTATTTACATGGTTAACTTATCAGCAACTTCCATCCACCGACTTGGTAACGCATGTGTTACGAGAAGGATTAAAGATCTACGTTGTCTATAATAAATAAACCCCCTTTCTATTTTCTTTTTTTTTCCTCTCTTTTTCTTTAAAAGTTAACACCAAAGCCAAATGAGGCTTTGATGGCTCTCCAATAATAACCAGACCAATTTGTTTTGGTTAATTCTTCTTCACCAACAGGGATTCCGGTTTGATGCATCTTTAAGAGAACACAGTCTGTACCTTGTTCCAATTCAAAGGTGACCTTGGAGAAATGACCTGCAGGCCAAGATCTTAAGCGCCAGGTTTGAACAATCTTTTTGTCAGGTACCAATTCCAAGATTTGACCAGAGACATTACCACCAAAGAATTCAAATTGAGATCCAATCTCACGCGATAATTTGACAGGTCCACGAGTCCAGACTTGAGCACGATTGATGTCCGTCAAAGTCTCATAGAGCTCATGAGCAGAGGTTTGGAATTCAGTGGTTTCGCTCAAGGAAGTTGTGTTGACTTTCTTGGCAGGTGCCTCACTACTACTAGTAGTAGTAGTAGTAGCAGTAGTGCTGGTGCCAGAAGAACCAAACTTGGTGCTGGCACTGTGCTCAGTGGTAGCAGGGCGTGCAGGTGTAGGTGTACCCATCTTGTGTGATTCAATATAGACATCTTCACAATTCTCCTTGATCATGGCAGCAGAAAATCCTTCGAATACCTTGATCAACTTGGGTGTCAAACCCTTACGTACCACTTCCTTGATGCCTTGTTTGGCGTTGCTATCATCATTGATGGAGATTTCAAACTATATATAAAAGCATGAGAAGATATCCTCGGGGCCTTTTTCCAATATAACAACTTACAACAAAGTCATCAGAGTCGGTATCATGGGCAATTTCGGGAATATAAAGTGAGCCAGTCACCTCAGTACCGTCAGCAAGAGTTCCTATAGGATTTGTGTTGGCATATGTTTGCAATTGTTAATGTGCGCGTAATTTTTTTATTTTTTTACCTTGCCATCCAAGCTTCAAAGTAACATCATAAATGGTAATAATCTTTCCCTTTCTTTGGTTCAAATCGACATCACCTTCACATTCCATCATCTTGTTAATGGAAGCCTTGTTACCATTCTTTTCGGCTTCAATACCAACACAATGTTGAGTAAAATAAGCTTGAGCCCACTTTAAACAGTTTTTGTTGACCCTATTCACCCCCAATTTTATTTTATTTTAGTTTTTAAACTTAGAAATCCCCAAATCATATCTTACCAATGCCTATTAAATAAAATTGTAAGTAAACAGTACATACACAGAAAAAGTATAAAAGCACTTACCAGTTGTTGACGTTTTTCCAGTTAGACATGATATAGAAGAAAGATATAAAATATAAAAAAAGATGGGAGAAAGAAAAAAAAAAACGTCAATCGAAATTCATAGAAAAAATGACGGCAGTCACGAGGAAGTGCACCCCCCTAATTTTGATTGTTCTAAACAAACAACAGCTGGGTAATCTTTCTATAAACGCACTGTTTACTCTTAACACAGATTAATAATAAAGGTAAAAATAAGGACTTCTGCCATTATTGTCAAGCACGGAACAAAAATAGGTGGTTGTCGAAAACCCGCCACATGTTCTAGCATTTCGAAATAAATAAAAAGCCTGTACCAGTTCAGAATGTACCATAAAAAACTGTTTGTAATTTATTTGAAGGGTATATCATACTAAGGTCAGTGGCCTTTACAAAAAAATTCACTTTAATTTGTGGACAAATTTGATTGGCTGAGATTTAAAGCTCTTACGTCAGCACTCAAAGCAGTATAAATTTTTGCAATTTTTTTCTTGTTTTTCTCATATATGCCACTCATCTGTAAAGTCTTCAATTCCGTAATGGAGTAACTTTACATTGTTAACAGTGGAACTTGATTCAGATAACAATTTTAGGCACTACAGAATAAGTTTGATGGCATTTTAAAGACTTATTGAGCTGAAATGCCAATTTTCATTAATTCAGGGCTATTAAAGTAAAAAAAAAAAAAGAGCCTCATTTCTTGATATTAACACACCCAAAATGGTAAAACTAGTGGTTTGTTTAGACTTTAGAGATTTAGCATGAACTTTTATACTTTAGCTTTTGGGAACAATGCCTTTGAATATGCATTCTTCTTTGAGGAGTTGACAGCGATAACAAAGACATTTAGCTACCGAAATGGATCATTAAGGTATTCCGAGAAATCTAGTGCTACTTGCTTTTGATGGATACACAGCTTAGTCATAAAATAAAAACCTTAATTTACAAAACGGTCAAAAGCAGACGGTCACGCATAGTCGGACGTAAACAAACGATAGCTTCTTTCTCTTCCCCTCTCCTTTTTTAATAAAAAGAAAAAGAAATGACAAGCCGTCTTTTTCCAGAGGAGATTATGAATATCATCTTGGGGTATCTCTCAACAAAAGATAATTTCTTCCACTACCGCTTGGTGTGTTCATTGTGGAATTCAAGAATATCTTCTTTATATTTGAAGGATGGATTGCATATACAACTGTACGAATCTGAAATACCTAAACTCGCCTCTGATACCTCGAGTTCTGCTAAACTGGCAGAAATGATATATGGTATCGACATGCTTGACGATACCGAGATAACCGATACAAACTTCATAAGGGGACCTAATAATCTTGAATATTTTGTGAAGGTTGTCACAGCGTGCCCTAACCTAGCCAGGTTAAAATTTTCACCAGGTCCTTCAGTGAGAGATTATTTGGAGTTGTTAGTCAGAGAACAAATAAACTTACCGAGCATTAATGAAATCAGCATTGCAATGAATGGAATTCCCCACCCACATGAGAGAATCTTAAATATGAAGCTTAACCTTGTCCATTGCAATAAGATCACAAAGTTGAAATTCGACTATAAAGACGTGGATTCAGAGGAGATTGGAGGATTGTATAAGTTTATTACGAATTTTCGAAATTTAAAGGTGTTGGACTTTCGTTCTTTGTATGGAACTAACAGTATTGACATTGCTCGTCTTATGACGACAGCATGTGCGTCAAATTTAGAGTCATTGCGAATCTCAACACTTCGAGCGGTTATAGATGTGGATAGTGCACCTGATGATACAATAGATAATACAAAGTTTAACAATTTGAAGTCGGTAGTTATTCAAGCATTAAGCGTCAGCAATAATACTTTAGAGTATATCATGACCAATTTCAAAAATCTGGATACGCTTCGTGTCAGTACTCGTCCACGGAACTGTATGTCAGTATACAAAAAAGCGGAAGATAATTCTTTCTTTGAAAAACTAATATCATATTGCAATGGTTTAAAAACTGTTAAACTTTATGTACGGTATAAAGAAAATCAAGAATTCAAAATATTTAAATATTTTGGAAGATAGTGAAGAGTTTGAGAAAATCAAGAAGCCTGAACAGAAATCTTTATAACTTCAGCTACATCAATATTGCGAGAAGAAGTCCCAACAGTGATCTAAAGTTTACATAGTAGTATAATTTATGTTAATAAAAGTGACAGTAACACCAGCTTAAAGCTGAACTTATTTACTGCCAGACAGAGCTAATGAGTGATTTGGTAACTATTCCATGCGTGCTCCGCTTCTGTAGTGGAGGAATTCATCCCATAATTTATACAGAATGGAAAATAGTTGTTTTGACATGACAAATTATATAACTTTTCCGACTTTTATTAATATATATATATGTTACTCAGAAGTATCCCCTAGTGCTTTTATAGATGTTTTTGTGCTGCTCTAAAGTGCTGGTACTTGGTAACGCTGTGATTTAAGATTCGAATGCCGATGAACCCGATGATTGGAAATGGTAAGACGTGGGCAAATATTTTCCTCATCCTTTTTCTTTCGCTCCCCCTCCCCCCCCCCTTTTTTTTTTGATGGAAACATATAATATAAATAGTCTTTTTTCGGAAGAGATTATGATTATGATATTTAAATATTTCTTAACTCAAGATAATTTCTTCCACTACCGCTTGGTGTGTTCATTGTGGAATTCAAGAATATCTTCTATATATTTGAAGGATGGATTGCATATACGACTTTATGAATCTGAAATGCCTAAACTTGTCTCTGATACATCGAACTCTGATAGATTAGCAGAAACAATCTACCGTATCGAATTGCTTGAGGATGCCAAAATTATCGATAAAGATTACATAAGAGGACCAAATCATCTTGAATATTTTGTAAAGGTTGTCACTGCATGCCCTAACCTAGTCAAATTAACATTATCTATGAATCATTCAGCGAGAGAATATTTGGAGTTGTTAGTCAGAGAACAAATAAATTTACCAAACATCAGCGAAATTTGCTTTAGATCAATGTTTGGATTTTTCAACCTAGATGATAGAACCTTACTTGTAAGGCTTAACCTTATCTACTGCAATCAAATTACAACCTTGATCTTCTACCAGGAAGGTGTAGATATGGAAGAGTTTGGAGGATCTTATAAGTTCATTTCAAATTTTCGAAATCTGAAGGTGTTGGAAGTGCGTTCTTGGGATAGAAATCAAAAAATTGACATAGCTCGTCTTATGAAAGCATGTACGCCAAATTTAGAGGTCTTGCGAATCCTTGCATTTCGATCAGTTATGAATGTGGATAGTACATCTGATAGTGCAATAAATATTAAACAGTTTAAAAGTTTAAAAAATATATTTTTTTACATATTAAGCATTAGCAGAAATGCGTTGGAGTTTATCATGGTCAATTTCAAAAGTCTGGATTTTCTTCGCATTACTACTCCTCCGCCTAGTATAAGAGACAATTCTAACTCCTTGTACAAGAAAGGAGAAGCTGAACCTTTCTTTCAAGAACTAATTTTATATTGTAAAGATATAACAAACAGTGGTATTTCAATGATGTATGAAGAAAATCAAGAACGTAAAACATTTATAATTCCTTCTAAAAGGATTGCAAAACAAAGAGTTTAAGTAAATCAAAAATCAATAAACTGAACATTTTATGACTTTAACTATATCAATGCTGTAAGACGAGCACGAATAATTTATGACAGTAGTGTAAAATTCACTTTAATAAAAATGCCAGACTGCCCAAGACAGTAACACCCGCTTGGAGTGATACAGACACGTACTGCCGGACAAGATTAACAAGTGATATACCAGCAGTACAGTACGTGTTCCAGATACAAATTCGCGTGGTGGAGTATTTCTACAAGATGAAAATAATTGGTCTGACATGACAAATAGCGACTTTTATTCATATTTATGTACCTATTAGATGAACAAGCATCATTATTCTCTATGAATGTGAAATCACTATTTTCGATGCAGATACTGTAATTGTACATAGTCTATCAGTGATTTCAGTTAGAATAGCTCATTTTGATATTCACGTGGTTTAAGAAACAAGCAATTGACAAAGAACGAGAGAGAAAGAAAATAAAAACTCCTCGTGACTCTGGTGGCTTTCTCCAAACTCCGAGTATACTCACTTTTTTGAAGCATTTTTTTTTATTTTTTGAGTGTTCTTTTGTTGCAACCCCTTTTTTTTTATCTTTTTTTCACAAAAAAAACTTACGCATAATTGTAAAGAGATGAGTGCTTCAACATTTCTTGACACTTTAAGGAAGCATGAACTCTCACAGGTAAAAAGAGAGAAAAAGTCAAGTGTATAGATGAAAGTTTAATTAACAAAATATTAAAATAGTTTTACCCTACGTAAGAACAAAAAAAAAAAAAAAAAAAAAAAATGAAACGACTTTTTTTTTTTGTTTTTGTTAATGAGTGGTAAATTCAACTAAAATTTTGTTTGTAGGTTTTCCACTCATGGTATCACTCATCTTCAAGGTTTAGCTCAGGTACGACGGAGAGAGAGAGAGAGCTCTATAACATATAAAAAATCTCCTTCAAAACTCATATTGTTAGTTAGCTTTCGTTACAAGATTATTCCAGACTCGGGATAACAGACACCGTCGATAGAAGAAAGATATTTGGGCTGGTTCAATCTATTCGTAAAGATACAGAGACTCGAAATATTTTACCTTCTGCTTCAGCCATGACAAGTGGTTTGCGTCAACCTCAAACTTATCAAAGCCGATTACCTCAACCCGACAGTTTCAGCACGACCAATCGTGGTCGACGCCAAAGTGTCATTGGGTCTCCCTCTACCCTCATCAAATCTCCACCTCTACAACAACAAACCCTCGAACACGCTAGGCCAATAAGAAACCGCACCATGTCAGATGCTCCACGACCTGACCCTTCTTTACTACATCATCAACGTCAAGCTCCATTTAAAGATAGAAGAACAGAGTTGAGAAGATCTTTATATATGGAACAACAACCCGCTTTAGATGATGAAGAAGATTCAGATGAAGATGATCTATCCAAAAACAGAAAGTTTCGAGCTTCAGCTCCTTTGTTGGATGCTTATGGTGTACCCTTAAGCCCTGCTAAGCAAAGAACTGCTGCCGCAGCAGCAGCAGCAGCAGCAGCGGCAGGTTCATCTGCTTCTTCATCATCCTCATCACTGCCCACACCAACCGTCTTTCATAATTTGCCTCCCAGCGATTTAAATCAAAAGATCCGTGTCTGTGTTCGAAAGAGACCACTTAGCAGAAAAGAATTGGAAAAATCAGATAAAGATGTAGCTCCTATGAATGGTACTCGAAGTTTACAAATCAACGAACCAAAGTAAGTGTTTATCGAGAGAAGATTTATATATGTATTTATTAAAAAAAACAAAAAAAAATAAGGTTACGGTTGGATTTAAGTAGATACACAGAACAACATTCTTTCACTTTTGACGATGTGTTTGATTTAAATTGCGCCAATTCCATCGTCTATAAACGTACAGCACTTCCTCTGGTCAACTACATTTTCAAAGGAGGAAAAGCGACCTGTTTTGCCTAGTAAGTGACAACTTACTAAAAAGTAGCAAAAAGAAAAAATAAGACTAACACTCGAATATTTATATATATATATAAAAAAGCGGACAGACAGGTTCTGGCAAAACATTCACTATGCTGGATCCCAAACAAGGTCTTTATATTATGGCAGCGCGTGATATCTTTGCCATGTTACGTGAGCCGGAGAATCAACATTTATCTGCATGGATTGGACTGTATGAAATATACCAAGGTCAACTCTATGATTTACTAAACGAACGGAAGAAATTATTTGCTCGAGAAGATGGAAAGAATAATGTGATTGTCACAGGACTTAAAGAATATCCTATAGATAATGTTGATAAATTAATTCAAGTCTTTGATTACGGTAGCAGTGTTCGTAGCACAGGTAAAGTCGGTCATCCATCCAAGGCGTGTCTCTTCCATACTAATAAATAAAGCTAGGTTCTACTGGTGCAAACGATAGTTCTTCTCGTTCACATGCTGTGCTTCAAATTTTACTCAAGCACAAAATAAACCGAAAAAAGATTCACGGCAAATTAAGTTTTATCGATTTAGCAGGCTCTGAAAGAGGTGCTGACCGTGGCGAAGCAGATACAAAGACGAGGTAGGTCTATAAATATATGTATACACACACAAATGAGGCCCAATGTATTTATCTCGTTTGCCCAATAGAATGGAAGGTGCAGAGATCAACAAGAGTTTATTAGCATTAAAAGAATGCATTCGTGCTTTGGATCAGGACAAGCGACATACACCTTTCCGACAAAGTAAATTAACTCAGGTGTTGAAAGATTCTTTTGTTGGTAACTCGCGTACCTGTATGATTGCCACCATTTCTCCCGGTGGATCTAATAGTGAACATACCCTCAATACCCTAAGATACGCAGACCGAGTAAAAGAATTAAAAGGTGAACGAGACAGAAAGTCAAATATGGAAAGAAGCACAAGTGGATCTGGAAATAGTATACCAGATGTCAATCCACATACACAACAATGGATAGAAAATAACACAGAAGAGTACGAAGAAGAAGAGGAAGAGGAGGAGGAGGAGGAAGAAGAAGAAGAGGAGGAGGATCAGTTTACACATGATGAATCCAATGATGATTATTATAGTAATGAATCTGATATTCTGGATGATGACACATTTAACGTGGACGAAGAAAATATCTTTGATGTGGATTTCCCTCATGAACAAGATGCATTGATTCATAACACATTTAATACTAGCAATCTATCTCCTCCCCAGAAATCACCGCCTTCTGTACCAGCAAGATATAGTCATCATAGTAGTGGAAGTCGACCCAATTCCATCTCATATACTGCTGAACCTTCCATTAATACTAATAATAACACGAGACCATTATCATTGCAGATAAAGAGATCCTCATCCACTTTACCTCGATCTTTCTCCATGTATTCACCCTCTCGAAATTCAATGGAATCTGATAATTCATCTACATATTCCAATCCACAAAGACCGTCTGCACCACAACAGCAACAGTATGTATCACCCGAACCTTACCGAGCTCTTCATCCTGCACAACCACCACCGCCACCGCCACAAGCGGACCTGATATCGCTTAGTGGGGTCCCCTCCTTTGATTACGGTAGCATGGACGAGTTTGTGAAATTTCATCGAGCGGAAATTCGGGAGATTACAGATTGCACGAAAAAGGAAACGAAATTGGTAGCGAATATCTCATTGGATTTATCATCGAATCAAGACTTTGATGATCATCATAGTGTGGACACAAAGAGTCAGACACAATTTCAGAAATACCTGCAAGATTTGGATGAAATTCTTGAACGAAAATTGGCGGCAGTGGAAGCTTTAAGAGATCGTATCAGTGATACAGTCAATCAAATCGAATTGTAATTTTATATTAAAAACAAAAAGAAACAAAAACAAAAACAAAAAAGACTGTAATAAAGTAAACCCACCCCCCTCCACATATCTCTTTCTATTTTTTTTTTTCTAAGAAAGAAAATTGTTTATTTCATAAAATAATATGAAGGTCGCCGTCGTGGTCGCAATATTGTAGTGAGTTGGAAAGTCAACAAGCAGCCACGCACGGCAACAATCAAGCAACGCGAGGGAACAACCGTGTTGAGATGCGAACACATCCTCCCATTAAGCAACGACGCAGGTCTCCTTCACTTTACAGAACCTGACAATCTTCTTTTTAGCCAAGAAAGAATCGAACAAAAACGATAACACTTACCCCGAGAAAAGTACGAGAAGCTTCACACAAAAGGACAGCCGGTTTTATACAGTGTAGTAAAACATATCGAGTAAGAAAGAAACAAAGGCTGATTAACAAGTTGTTAGGTAGTCTTTATATACTTTTATCACTGATTGATTGACTACAAAAAGCAGCGGCTCCTAAACAAGTATTAAACAGGGCCCAATTAACTGGTATTTTATATCGTACTGTCATAGTTGAAAATTTAAGTGCATCCCTTTGTTAAAAATAACACAATGAACACGAGTAGAGCCAGACAGATAATAAAGTCAAAAAGGAACCGTAACAAGCTCAAATCACCGTATCCAAAGAAACGTACATTTCTGAATAATACATATTAATAAATTTTTCTGCAAACTAAACACCCCTCCTCTTTTTTTTTAATATTAAATTCTTCCCCTCCTTCGGTAAGAAAAATAAGGAACACACACACACACAGACGGAAAAAAAAAGATGAATGTATAAAGTTTCACTTTTTATTTTTTGGTTTAAAAAATTCGACAGTCTAAAAAATAAATTTAGATGTTGGAAGGGTAAAGCATCTAGTAAAAAAAAAAAAAGAAAGAGAATGAGTACATGGTTGACAGCATAAAGAAGAAAAAAAGACTTACAATACGGACGGAAGCACCGAAGACCTTGGGGGGCAAGTTCTTACGGAAACGGGCCTTGACGACACCGTTGGTACCGTGGGTACGAGCAATACGACCCCAGATGACACGGATCTTGGAACCGTTGATCTCACGTTGAGCACGGTAGACATAGGCGATACGCTTACCGAGGTAGAATTGAGCATCCTTGGTGGTTTGGACACCTTCAACTTGAATGAGAGAAACGTTAGGGTTTTGGGTACGCATGGCACGTTCGAAGCCCAAGACGCGGCCCTTGCTGTACAAACTATAAAAGACGAGTTAGTTTACAAGTACAATTAAGCCATTTAGAAATAAATCAATGTCATGCTGTGCTTTTATAAAAAAAATCACATTTTTAAGAATTGTTCCATCCATTGTTGTTTCCCCATCTAATGTCCTGTTTCTAATTTTTTTGATGCATCCATTGATTTATTTCTGCTTGTGATTAATGTCTTACCGATCGGATCCAGACATGTCTAATGATAGGTGATGAAAGAGGAAGGTGTATGAGTTTACGCCATTAGATTTTCCTTCTAACCACCCCCCATTTTCCGCCTCCCCATAGTGACCCATCCTGCATTTTTCGTCCCAGTCAATAAAAAAAAAAAATCAGCTCCATTCCGGACCGGACCAAATTTATAGATCTACCCGTTGTGTTTTGAATAGCAGACCCCAAAAAAGAGAGTGTGTATGGTTTATTTAGGCGTGTAACAAAGTTATATAGGGCACTTCTCTTTTTCCTCTTCTTTTTCTCTTTTCTTTCTTTAGTACCCAAATGAATGAAAAGAAGAGAGCACATCATATCTCAGCGCCTATTTCACCCAATTATCAAGGGTTCGGGCACTCGACATCAGATTCATTTTTTGATGATTATCCACCACCACCTGCATATCAACCACCTCAACTCCATTCAACAATGAATGAACACCAGCAGCAGGTATTAGAACAACAGCACCAGCAGCAAAAATGTAACACCAATTTGAACAATTTTAATCAAATCAACCAATTCTACCTTCCAACTCCTGCACCACAAACTGTCATTGTCTATCGACAGCCCACTCGATCAAAAGACGCATGTTGTTGGGGATGGTAAAATGATATCATTCTTTTTTTTTTTTAATTTATATTCTAAACACTCTTTCTATATAGTCTAGCTGCAATATGCCTCTGTTTCGGAGCAAAAGAATGCTGCTAGGTAAAGCAAAAAAAATCATTATATTAAACCCATTTCATATACCCCTCTCTCCTTTCCCAAAAAAAAAATAAAAAAATATATAAAAATTACTTGTTAAATTAAGGTATGACAAACACACGTTTTTTGAAAAATGTTATTTAGTAGTCTTCCATTGAAAGAAATTGCAATTAAATTGATGAGCCGGTCCATCTTTCGGTCCTATAGGTTTTGAGCAAATATAAAATATACGGCCCAAATTAGGTCCCTTTTTGGTGACGGTTCGCTCCAAACATGGTTCATTATGGACTTTACATCGTGGAACTTCCCGTGCCGAAAATAAGCTTGTCCATGCTTTTGTCGTTGTTTCCTTTTGCTCCACATGCTGAATAAGTTTATCCACATCATCATCTTTTTTATTACTATTGCCATTGAAAAAGGACTGGATAGACTTTTGTTTCTTTGGGCCACATGATCTTGACATTTCATCATCGGCACTTCGTTTACTTGGCGTACATACTGATAAAGTAGGCGTGCTACTACTAGTGGATTTGCTGAAATAGTTTGATAGTTTCTTTTGCTTGTTACTAAACTCGGGATAGTGATGAGACAGTAAGGGTGATTCATATGTCGTTGGTTGTTTATCCAATAGATCCACCATTTCATCCAGGAAATCTGCATACACTGGGCAATGATCAGATCCCATGATCTCTGGTTGAATATCCGAATATTTAAACCAAGACTTTAATCCTCGCGACGCCAATACATAATCAATACGTGTACCTGATTAAATTACGCTGTTAATAAATAATAACAAACAAAAATAGTCAATTTTACCAAAGTTGGCGGGCCTGTCATTTACAAAGAATTAATGTTCCTATTCGGTACTTTGTGTTCAATCCGGCCCTTACCTTGCATTTGTTCTCGTGTTCCAACCTATCATTAAGTAAGTATATTAAAATAGTTCACAAAAGAATATATATATATATATATCTAAAATAGGCTTACAAGTGAACATTTTTTGACGATCTGGATGATAAAGTCGAGTCATATCAATCAATGGACCATTAGGAACCAATATCTGATCTAACCAACTTCTTTGTGGTAGATCCTTAAAATTCTTAATCCCATGTTCTCTGATGCTTTGTTTGGGATCACAATGATCTATTTCTTCATGCACTGCATTTATGTCGCCTACCAAAATCACCTCTTTGCCCATCTCTAAAAAGTCCCGTACACGTTGTTTCACGCATACATGATAATCCATTTTAAACTCGAGTCTCGTTCCCTCTGAATCATTAGGGAAATAGATATTGAACAGGACAAGAAACCCAAAATCCAAGATAATACATCGTCCTTCCGCATCTAATTTTTCCGCAGGTGTAGTTAAATTGTATGTGAAACTGCTTCCGGTGTCTAGTATTCCCGTAATACCTTCATAGGTACGCTGTGGTTGAATGAAGGTGTCCTTGATATACACTGCTACACCAGAATATCCTAATTTTACTTTTGAAAACGAAAAATAGGCATGATAACCAGGTACAAGGGCCATATCTCGCGGTAATTTTGCACGTTGACACTTGATTTCTTGTAGACTTTTGTATGTGTGTGTGTGTTTGGGTTAATGGGAAGAGTTGCTTAAATAAAGGGAGACAGAAAAGTTACCATATAATGTCTGAATTTAACGTGTCCAGTAAATACTGTCAAAAAGCGTAAAATGTTTAGACATGCAAGTGTTGTCCATATTGCATACTATTTACTTTGTAGGTCTTATGTTCTGTCCATGGGTAGTACTGTAATGTACTTGAGAGCCCATTGACGTTCCAAGTTAGAACTCTCATTACTGTAGTGTTAAAAAAATAAAATAAAAATGTGACAGGCTAATTAATCGTGCTCTTCATAAATCAATTTGCATAAGCGCCATATGCGCATGATCAATGGCTTATTACAAAGTAAGAACTACTAGTAAATAATTGAGGATGTATTTACAGAACATCACAGAGACCATTGTCAATAGCATATCTAGGTCTGCTAGTGGAAATAGGCACACAGCTTCTCCTCTCTCAGCTGCTGCTATTTAGTTACAGTATGTCCCCAATGAATCCTCTGGGTATAAGATTGTTACATATGAAAAAATAGACAGTGATCATACAATGCAGGAGTATATTTCACCAACAAAGAACTATTAAGCTGCTATCAGAATACACATTCAAAGTGGTAGGTTTTACCGTCTTGGGTTAACTCGAATTGGCACTCCATTTACTACAAATCAAGCTTTGATTGGACAATTTTAAATACGTCATCTATTATGACAAAAATTTCGAAAGCTCTATTTGCAATTTTTTTATCCTTCTTAGCCTACAATGACCAATGACTTGAGGGGGTATGTATTGCTTCCTGACGAACCCGGCAAGCCTATGGAGGAACTTTGGAATATAGGAGCTCCCGCGTCTGCTTAATCATTAACTTGGAGTCTTTCCAGATTCGACAATAGCCCTTCAGTTTACCTGATCGGTGGTTATTGATTAATATTGTCATTGTTTTGGCTTTCATCAGATGAGTAATAGAACAGTGACTTGAGGTAGTATGTATTGCTTCCTGACGAACCCGGCAAGCCTATGGAGGAACTTTGGAATATAGGAGCTCCCGCGTCTGCTTAATCATTAACTTGGAGTCTTTCCAGATTCGACAATAGCCCTTCAGTTTACCTGATCGGTGGTTATTGATTAATATTGTCTATTACATACATCTGATGAAACTTGTTTGATATTAAGAAAAACTGAAAACCAGGTAATAATATCTAAAGGAATCGAAATTCCGTAGTAACAAGTTAGTTTGTTTGATTGCATAGAGTTGATTATTCTGCATGCATGTGTAAAAAATGAAATATGTCATTGCAACAGTATCCTTCTTAGCCTACAATGACCAATGACTTGAGGGAGCATGCGTTGCTTCCTGACGAACCCGGCAAGCCTATGGAGGAACTTTGGAATATAGGAGCTCCCGCGTCTGCTTAATCATTAACTTGGAGTCTTTCCAGATTCGACAATAGCCCTTCAGTTTACCTGATCGGTGGTTATTGATTAATATTGTCATTGTTTTGGCTTTCATCAGATGAGTAATAGAACAGTGACTTGAGGGGGTATGTATTGCTTCCTGACGAACCCGGCAAGCCTATGGAGGAACTTTGGAATATAGGAGCTCCCGCGTCTGCTTAATCATTAACTTGGAGTCTTTCCAGATTCGACAATAGCCCTTCAGTTTACCTGATCGGTGGTTATTGATTAATATTGTCTACTACATACATCTGATGAAACTTGTTTGATATTGAGAAAAACTGAAAACCAGGTAATAATATCTAAAGAAATCGAAATTCCGTAGTAACAAGTTGGTTTGTTTGATTGCATAGAGTTGATTATTCTGCATGCCTGTGTAAAAAATGAAATATATCTACGGCAACAGTAAAGAGATGATGGTCCATTTCACTTACAATATCGTAAACTCTAATTATTGCTTGGAAACTTCTTATGTAAGTGAAGTTAGTAATCGGAGTCCCGAGACAAAAAGATTAACGTTTGTTTGCGCAGTTCACTTTGTTGGATGTTTTCATCAGCTCAATCTTACCCTATAGACTCGTTTTCATATACTCGTTTTCATGGATTCTCTCTGATTTTCGGTGTTAATTGTAACGACAATACTGTTTAGACAAGCAACACTTACAAATGCTGTCGGCATCGGTGGTAGTTATCTATTTGCAGTTACAATGCTTTGGTCCTTCGAGTGATCCCCTAATCCACGTTACACCAGCTCCCATGGCTGATTGTGGCTTATACAGGTATGCATAAAATTTATTTAGATCGACATCTGTATTAAAGTAATTGTTTTATTATAGTTTGGAGCATTTGAATATTGTTCAGCTTGGCAATAACATGGCTAAAAAATCACCCACAAAAAAACCGAACACTTGAGGGAATTCCATGCTCATATGCTGAAGATTAAGAATAATATAACGGCATATTTGAAAGTTTCACTATGGTGTATTTGACATCTTTAAAAAAATTAATTCTTTTTTTATTCAGGCAACACGTTTGTATCTTCTATTTTCTTTAAAGACGTATCCGCTAACGTTTTATTTTATGGCGTTTTTAGCAACCAAGATCAGGATTTGGAGGTTATCTATGCCAGCAAGCAAAATTTATATCACAAATTGTATCGGTTCGGTCGAAGTGCCAGTCCAAGCAAAGACATGTGAAGAGAAGTTAAGAAAGCTAATTGACTTATTTTGGTTGTTGAGGGTAAGATATATTTGATCCATATTTTGTCATTTTATTTCTTATTAATGCCTTGTTAGCTTCTGATCAAGGAATCATATCAAGCCATGGATGAACTTAAGGAATCTCATGCTAGGAACATAAAAGTAAAGGCTAGGAAGTTGGAAGGTTATGATAAAGTTACAAGCTTGTGACAACTTCAAGACAAATACCCTCGTTAAGCTCTTTCAAATTTATATAAAAAAATCAGGCCACATGCAGATAAACAGTTCAGATGACACCAATTAAATAATAAAAGCATAGTTTTTTTATAAAATAACATAGTCTACTATATACGCTATATTTGTCAATCCGAAGTAACTACAATTATATTGGTTTGTAGGGTAGTAGATACGATTGCTGCGTTTAGTTATGTCATAAGTTACAATCGCCGATTGGCGAACTGATGACATAATAGACTCACGACAATAACTTGTGACCTAAAAATCAAAAGAAAAAAACTTGTTTCCCTTTAATTAAATGCTCAACTTCAATGAAAAACTCGTCTTGCCAAACAAAAAAGAGTCTGTATTCTTTAGACAAAATAACTTGTCGAACTGGAGTTTAAAAGCGTATATGGAACATTGTTAGGGTACAAGTCGTCTTTAAAACCTGAAAAAATAACTTATCAGTACAAATTGTGTCTTAACAACATCAAAGACGACGACGTGAAAAATATATGGAGAATTTATTAGAAATCGTTAGAGAAGTAAGGTTAATTGACTTTTCTCTGTAGTGAGTAAAACACTTATGTTCAAAATAGCCCACCGAAGACCAACTGCGCACTACTATCAATAATTTCCATAATGTCAACTATGGAACTACGGCCGTTATGGAAGCACATGGGGAAGTCAAGGTTAAACAAGGAAACAAGAAAAGAAAAATCGCTGACAATCCACAAACATCTGGTCTATCGTTATCACCAGAACGTTACGCTCCACAACCTTATGATTCCTGGGAAGATACGGTAAGTATACAATAGCTTTGAAGGAAAATAATTTCTATCTATTTACCGCTTTTTTTTTTTTTTTTTTTACCGTTGATAGATTGAGGAAGAAATAGTAGTGGAGGAAAATGTTGAAATGAATGTTTGGGATGTATGGAAGGAAATACTTGAGACTAGGCAAAAATAAGGTAACATCGACGAGTACCCTCTCTTTTTTTGTCTTTATGCGTAATGATTAGCAGCGAATACTCGGATCAAAGGAGGAGTTCTGACCATTTCGATGGTGAGCATGGTTCTAATCTTATCCAAGGCTTTAATCGCCTGCGAAGATTGTTCAGAGCTATATTTAGTACAGGCAGATAAACGAGAGCTGATGATGGAAGCCGATTTTCTGGATGCACCTATACCTCAATATTACATGCCTCAATTACATAAAGTAGAGTAAAGTTTTGGAATTTTACAACAAAAATAAGAGTTCTCTTTTCTATTCTTTTTTTTACACCCCTGTTCTTGTTCATTTACACTACAGCAATACTTACTTTACATTTGACTTCCGTTTAATTGTCTTGACTCGTTTTAATGGTAATTAATAAATAAAGGTGTTTCTGTTTGTTGTGACAGAAATGTTTGTTGCATCTAAATTCATTTATTCTTATCAGCATTATACATACATATTGACTAAATATCTTTTAAAAATTCCAAATATAGCGTATTAGTAGACTGTGTTCTTTTATAAAAAACTATCGATAATATATGCTTTTATTATTTAATTTGTGTCATCTGCACTATTTATCTGCATGTGGCCTGATTTTTTTATATAAATTTGAGGGAGCTTGACAAGGGTATTTATCTTGAAGTTGTCACACAAGCTTGTAACTTTGTCGTAACCTTCCAACTTCCTAGCCTTTACTTTTATGTTCCTTGCATGAGATTCTTCAAGTTCATCCATAGCTTGATATGATTCCTTGATCAGAAGCTAACAAGGCATTAATAAGAAATAAAATGACAAAATATGGATCAAATATATCTTACCCTCAACAACCAAAATAAGTCAATTAGCTTTCTTAACTTCTCTTCACATGTCTTTGCTTGGACTGGCACTTCGACCGAACCGATACAATTTGTGATATAAATTTTGCTTGCTGGCATAGATAACCTCCAAATCCTGATCTTGGTTGCTAAAAACGCCATAAAATAAAACGTTAGCGGATACGTCTTTAAAGAAAATAGAAGATACAAACGTGTTGCCTGAATAAAAAAAGAACCGATTTTTTTAAAGATGTCAAATTCGCCATAGTGAAACTTTCGTCCGATTACATGCAACATGGCCACAAGACCGTACCCAGCTTTTATGTAGTCCTGAGTTTCCTTAGGATCGTTTTGCTGATGAAATGGGCCTGTTGTTTCTAATATGGCTATTTCTATCTTACTTTTTAGGTTCAGTATGATGCCGTCAGCATTGTAAAAATGTCGGTTATCATTCATCAACTTAAGCTCTTGGGAAACAGCTTCCAATTTTTTTTCTCCCAACAAAAACTTAGTTGTAATAATTGATTTTGATAAAGACGTCAGAATTGGCCATAGGATGAAGTGATTATAGCTTATTTCGTTAACATAAACATCACTGTCTTCGTTGAATAGACCGTTGATGCTATAATTTGGTAAGTTAAATAGATACTGCAAAACCTGAATGATCTATCAAAGACTTACAATGATTGTAGAACGGTAACAAAAAATGTCATGAATGGATTTTTGGACTTCAGTGCAAGTAGGGCCGCTTCGGTTAATATTGTATTCGAGGAAAGCTCGTCCGAAAGAACCTACCAATCACTTAGGGTGTTAATAAATGTCACTATTTTAAACTGTTGGTTGATCTTTTTACTCACAATAATATCAAACACGCCGTTATAGAATTCTTCATCTTTTACAAATGAGCATGGAATTTCTTCATATGTTAGGCCGGTTTTTTTTATTAGTTCTTTCGGGTAATACTCCCGGGTGATTTTTGAGCCATGTTTATTGCCAAGTTGAACTATATTCAAATGCTCCAAACTATAATAAAACGTTTAATTTAATACAGTGGTCGATCTAAATAAACTTTATGCATACCTGTACTTATCGATGTTGCCATCATTTTGCATGGTCTCGAGTATTTCCTTCCATACATCCCAAACATTCATTTCAACATTTTCCTCCACTACTATTTCTTCCTCACTCTATCAACGGTAAAAAAAAAAAAAGCGGTAAATAGATAGAAATTATTTTCCTTCAAAGCTATTGTATACTTACCGTATCTTCCCAGGAATCATAAGGCTGTGGAACGTAACGTTCTGGTGATAACGAGAGACCAGATGTTGGTGGGTTGTCAGCGATTTTTCTTTTCTTGCTTCCTTGAGTAACCTTGACTTCCCCATGTGCTTCCATAACGGCCGTAGTTCCATAGTTGACATTATGGAAATTATTGATAGTAGTGTGGAGCTGGTCTTCGGTGGCCTATTTTGAATATTAGTGTCTTAATTACTAAAAAGAAAAGACAATTGACATTACTTTATCATTGGCAACCTCTGCTAAACTATTAACATAATGTTTCACGTCGTCGTCTTGGACATAGTGCTGTATGTTGTTGAGAAACAATTTGTATTGACTACTTAGTTTTTCAAGTTTTAACGGCACGCGACTTGAAGCTTGACAATGTTCCACATATGCTTCTAAACTCCAGTTCGACAAGTTGTTTTGTCTAAAGAATGCAAACTCTTTTTTGTTTGGCAAGGCGAGTTTTTCATTGAGGTTAAGCATTTTATTAAAGAGAAACAAGTTGCTTTAAAAGCAATCTTTTTTTTTTTTTGATTTTTTGTTCACAAGTTATTGTCGCGAGTCTATTATGTCATCAATTCGCCAATAGGCGATTGTAACTTATGACATAACTAACCGCAGTAATTGTATCTACTGCCTTACAAACCAATATAATTGTAGGTGCTTCGGATTGACAATTATGAATAATATATATGGCTTCAATAAAATTTATCTTTATTCTTATCTTAAAAGTCTAGTAACAAGTTTATTGTAGTAAATATAAGAGAGCGTTTTATTTTCTTGTTATAATTTACACGTATTTTAATTTCGTATCATAATTTAGTGGCAAAAAAAAAAAAAAAAAAGAAAGTCTTTCAATGACAATAACGAAATATTTTTCTTCCTCTTTTTTAACGTAACTTAATTTTTTTTATCATCATAGCTTATCAACACAGCACTGAAGAAACCCTTGCTAACGGAAAAATACTATTATTTTGCTGAAGATGACGGAGAATATTTGTTAGAAGACGATATGCTTTAACGTCTAGACGTACGAGTCTTCAATAGTGGTAAGTGCTTGAAATTCAACATGTTGAGTGACAAGATGTGCATAGATTCTCATTTGGTCGAGTCTTTTGTCTAGGAATAATGCTACGAAGATTGGCATATTCAAATCGCCTTCCAGACCTTGAGATGTTGTTTGGAATTAATCAAACAACCATCGATGTTGTTTTTAATGATATGATTGAATTAGTCCAAGATAACTTTCACGAAGGTATCAAATGCAATAAGAAATATTTGAATCTTTTTTATTTTCAAATGTTTTCAGCTGTCATTCATGCAAAAGGTAAGCATGTTGCTAAATATATTGTATAATTGTTAACAATACGCTGAATTGTACCTATCGCTTACATAGGATCTCCATATGATAAAATTGTGGGGGCTTTATAGATGGTACTTTGGTCGCAGTTGCTAGACCCATCCGCGGCATAAGATTTACTCATATTGGGTACACGGTTAGTATTCAATGATCAATACGTGTTTCGTGTTCTAAATGTTCAAATTATGTTCTCTTACGTAAAGCGCTGTCATGATTTAAAATAACAAAGTATTGTCACGCCTGATGGGATCACCGTCAGTCTAACAAGTCCTTTTGCTTGAGCTATTCATGACCAAAACATGTTTGACACAAGTGAAGTAATCGTTGATCTTCGTCAATGCCTTGACTTTTCTCACATTAAAGAAAGGATATACGCAACATACGGAGATCCTGCATATAGAAAAGATAGATGCTTGTTAAAGCCATTCAGAACAGGTGATAGTATACTGTCGGTTTCAAAATACAATTACGTATCATAGTGAACGGCAAATATTAGGCACCCAAATGACAGACGCAGAAAATGATTCAATGAAAGCAGTAGGAATCGCAGCAGGATGGGAGTTTGGCCATGTTGTAAAGTTGTTTTCTTTTGTTAGATACAAGCCAGGACAAAAGATATTCCAAAGCAGATGTGGTCTTTTTTATGAAATTACAACGCTCATAAAAAATGTTCACATCTGTGTCGATGGAGGTAATTAAACGAGTAAGTAATTTGGAAGAGAACCGCCAATATTAGAAGAATATATTAATGAAATAATGAAACAATGAAATAATGCCATAATAAACTAGTTTTTATGGTAGATTTTTCATAATGTCTTGCTTTTAAAATTGGGCAGGCGCAATAGAACGAGGAGGAAGATGACGATGTTGAGAGACAGGACCTATGAGGACTTGGTGTAATAGTTGCTCGTTGTTATCCTGCTTTTTGATGGCAGTCTTTACCATGTCTTCAAGTACATCGGTTTTAGCACCCGTTTTTTTATGGCATCTTATTCTTGTAACCTTTCCTGTTCCAGGTTCACAATTGAGCGTTTGATGCCACTGTTTAATCCAGGTACGGGATTTACACAAGCTGCCTTTTTATCCCTAATGGCTTCTTCATCTCATTCAATTTTTTCAAGAGATGAAAAGTCCGGCTGCTTCGTGTTGGTTTGCTGACCGACTGCATGTGTGCCCTCTTTGAAGCTGCTACCTAAGCTTCTTGATCTATTTTTTTCTTAAAAAGACCATTGGCTTCGGTCTCTTTTGTCTTACTTTTCGACTGCTTGCCGTTTGCCATCTAAGTAAAATTTTAACATACGATGCCATATAGTTTAAATTGGTTGCTTACATTCAGTTTCGATTCCATTACGCTGTGCTCCAGGTAAGTCTCAGAATCGTTACTTCCAGTGCCATAGGTATTGTCATACAGTTGCTTTTTACTTACTTCTTCGATCAAATTGTTGATCTTAAGTTGAAAGGTATTCCAACTTTGAATTTTTGCCGCATTGCTATCTATTTCGTTAACCTTTTTCCTGGCGTTTTCTTTTGCCTTTGACACTTTAAGCGTCTTTCAATCATATGGATGCAACGCAAACATGGCAATGACTTTTCGTTCTGTCCATTCTCTGTAGTGTTTTTTAGGTGGAGAAGATTTTGAGGTATCGTTGTTGTTTTAATTTGAAAGATATGAAATAGGTTTATTATTTTTGAAAGTAGGCAAAAGATAGCGTTTAAAAATAAGAGAATATAATAGCTTTATTGGAAATCATCATGAGAAATTTCGTAGAAATCACTAAAATTAAGCAATATGATTCGCTGAAAAGAACTGACAGCAAAAAGCGCATATATTATACCTCCTTGTTGCCTTCACTTCAGACTCCGAAGGGGTACCCTTTTTCGCGGAACAAATTGAATTTTGCACCATGGGACTATCATGAATTCGCATACTTGGTTTGTAGTAATACTTCTCAAATGTTCCGGAAAACAGACTCCAATTGGCGTGCTCCTTGACGTTTGGTATGTCCATTCCTTGTATAACTGCTTTGGTACTAGATGCTACCCTAACCGAATGTGGCTCATAAGCCGCATCGACACCGGCATTCTTCAAGTAATTCGTTACCCATTATGCCACCGTCGCTGGTTATATACTCGTCACCTTTCACCTGTACGCCTGGTTAAAAGCTTTTAAAAGTAGTGTATGATCCTCGGATAAGAGTTCTCTCGTGGTAGCTGTTTCTTGCATAGATTAGATAAGAATATTCACCACACAGACTTCTTTCTGTTCACCCTCTAGCAGGACCCCCAGTTTGATATTTTTTTGCTGTGCTTCTTTTGACTCTCTGACTTGAATTTTGACCCCTTCATTTTCACCAGTGGCTTGACTCTTTATTTTTAGAACGTCTCGGTGTTGTATCCTCCATATGTGGCTCCTTGGACGCATACACAACAACAATACCAGACATTTTGTTGCAAATCATATAAGCTTTGACTTTTTGTTAGAGACGGAACCAATTTGATGTATAGTGGTCTGATCAGTCATAGTATTTCCATGATGCACGGCTTAGAAAGATCTAAGGGAAAACAGGGAATAGTATAGTTTTTTATTAATATACAATCTAAAAAATAAAGCGTGCTCAGAGAGCGAAGGAAACAAGGATTGTGTTAGTCACGACATACAATTAAAATTTGGCTCTATTGTAAAAAAATTAAAAAAACAGGGGATCTGCCCAATTGATTAATCAATGAAAACAAAACTATGTAAGAGAGTTCATAAGGTTAATTACAACTCTTTGTTATTTCTTATTTACCTTTTTGATAAACACCCCCATCCAATTTCTTCTTTTTTTTTTTACTCCAGGCTTTTTACCCAAGATGCCATCAAACAGACAAAGGCTCGTCAATCTGAATTTTATTGAAACAAAGAAAAGGGAAAAAACAGAGACTTCTGGAAGCAGGAGTGACAGTAACGGTAATAGCAGTAGCCGCTGAAGTACTGGAAGCAGAAGGTATATTGAGAAGTACATTGTCTATTCCAATTTTTTTCTCATAATTTTATATGATAGAGAATCGTTGCAAAGGTCGTGGACAGCTAGGGCATAAAGATACCAGGAGTCATTTGTGTCCTATGAGGAAGAATTACGATACTACTGTAGCAGGTATATGAATACCTAATATTAATGTTGAACTTCATTTTTTTAACATTGTTGTTTTTTAACTGAAAAAGAGAAAACGGGATGATGCCACGAGTGAAGGACCTCTTACCAAAAACAAAAAATTGATATTGAAGGTCTCCTGACATTAAGCCCATACTTTCTAGAATAAAATGATATTTTTTGAGCGTGAAAATCTTCCAATAGAACCCCGCATTCAATCATTGAGATATTACAAAACATTGTACTGAAGTATCAATTTAAAGGAATAAAGCATTTTAGTGTATGTCAAGTTCATTTGGGTAAGCTGGGCTATCAGTGAGTTTAGGAGTTGAAGAGCCTTTTGCATTTAATGGTATCAGGCTCGCCGTGAGTTGGAAGATAAATAATTGCACATCCCATGCGTCAATGCAGAATTTGCGCTTCTTTTAATCAGCTATAATACCATTATCTTTGCGTATCTTTAAAACTAATAAAATGTATTTATAAGCATACATTTATTGAAATTTTTGTTTTGTTAATAAAAAAATGAAGGTCCCCAAATACATCATGGGGCTCTTTTAAACATTATCAATTGTAAAATTACTGATAAAGTTATGTTAATGACTAATTAACCTATAATAGCTTATATGTAGGTGGTTGTCAGCGGCTGCCCTAGAAGTATTTGCCTCACATAATCCCAGCTTTGACCTTTGTTATCCCCCGTTAATCTTACTGATAACTGTAAAGTATAGGTGTTTGAAATTAATTACATATAACCGGTGGGATCTTGTTCCTTTGACCATCGATTTGTATTCCACATATTAGACCTTCGGGATTATTATCCAAAAGTATGAAACAGGTGACACCTAAAAGGTCATACATACATGAAAGGAACCTTAACCCGGATATCTACATAAATATACGGGTTATAGTTTAGATTTTCCGGAACACTTATTTGTGTTCGCTGCAACAAAGTAGCCAAAAAAACTACTGTGGACGATGGTAGGTTCCAAATAATACTTTAAAAGGGTGATACAATATGGATATACGGATTGTTTGTAAACTAAAAGTAGGCCTAGTGGGTAGAGATGCGGATGTAATTGCCGGAAGTTAGATTCATGTTGAATACATAACTATACAGACTTTATCCATACATTTATTTTAAGAGTTTTTTGAAATACAGCACACACACGACGCAGTACCAGACAGATGTACTAATTGGTAGAGTGACCATTGAAAAACGACTCCTTGTCAATCATTTACCATTAACTCCATAGCAATATTAAGTGCTTCTTGGATTATTGCGGTATATATGGGATAAAGTGACGAGAAAACCGAAAGTTTGAATGGATCTCCTAACTGAGTAGAAAATCTACTTCGTCATAGCCAAATGATGTAGTGTTTGTCATTGAAGCCTCCATTGTTGTAGTTGGATTTTGAATGACTGGCTTGATACCCTTTTCAATCATGTCGCGAAGAAAAAGAACAACTGTGTAAGGGCATTCGCTCGTGATTTTAAAATCATGTCCACAATCCATGTCAATACTTATATGGCCCAAGCTCAACTACAAGGAATTAGACGAAAAGAATACACATATTAAATAGATATATTCCACTTACAGCTTATATCAAGCATGACTTTAATCTTTGATAAATAGCATTGTAACCTTCTAAAGAGTTTAAGTGCGTGGATCACTACCTTTATTCTTGTACTTCAGTAAACGATACGGTCGCTAGATATCAAGGAAGCCCGAATGTTTTCACATAAGATGTTGTATACATCCTCTATATGTAGTATTTTATCCGGAATAATAATGGTGGCAGCATTCTCTTCAGGTGTTGACAGTTTAACTACTTCATGTAAAGTGGGTCGAATATGCTTTTGGTGAAACTGTGCGACAACAAAGTACGCTTTGATTTTGAAGTCAGCGGTTTTTAATTTATGTTGAATAGCAGAAAGAATTTCTTCGCCGTAAGTACATATTAGAGCTTTCCAAAATCAATATCCAATAACTTCTTTTCACCCGAAAAAACCAACGTAGTATTTTTGTCCCTCCAATCTTTTCCAAACGCATTGTCTGATTGGCCTTCCATCAACGTGTATGTTATATTAAAGAAAAGTGAGTAGCCTGGATGGCAAACAATTACGGGATTATCACCGTCAGCTGCAGATGGTGCAAATGTTTAAAAAACATCTTATCCATGTTAACCTTGCCCAACATATTCTATAATTTTTGTTCGTTTATCAGCTTTAGCTAATATTCATTGCTAGGTACTTTTATAAACAAAATGTCAAATATGCCTTACCCTCAATAACCAAAATAAGTCAATAAGCGTTATCAACATTTCCTCACATGTCTTCGCTTGGGTTGGCACATCGACTGAACCGATACAATTTGTGACATAGATCTTGCTTGCTGGTATAGATAGTCTCTGAATCCTGATCCTTGTTACTAAAAACGCCATAAAACAAAACATTAGCGGATACGTCTTTAAAGAGAATATAAGATACAAACGTGTTGACTGAATAAAAAAAAAACCAGTTTTTTTTGAAGCTTTCAAAATCACCATAATGAATTGTTCGCCCGATTACGTGCAACATGGCCACAAGACCGTACCCAGCTTTTATGTAGCCCTGAGTTTCCTTAGGATCGTTTTGCTGATGAAATGGGCCTGTTGTTTCTAATATGGCTATTTCTATCTTACTTTTTAGGTTCAGTATGATGCCGTCAGCATTGTAAAAATGTCGGTTATCATTCATCAACTTAAGCTCTTGGGAAACAGCTTCCAATTTTTTTTCTCCCAACAAAAACTTAGTTGTAATAATTGATTTTGACAAAGACGTCAGAATTAGCCATAGGATGAAGTGATTATAGCTTATCTCGTTTACATAAACATAACTGTCTTCGATGAACAGACCGTTGGTGCTATAATTTGGAAAGTTAAAAAGATACTGCAAAACCTGAATTATCTATCAAAGACTTACAATGACTGTAGAACGGTAACAAAAAATTTCATGAATGGATTTTTGGACTTCAGTGCAAGTAAGGCCGCTTCGGTTAATACTGTATTCGAGGAAAGCTCGTCCGAAAGAACCTACCAATCACTTAGGGTGTTAATAAATGTCACTATTTTAAACTGTTGGTTGATCTTTTTACTCACAATAATATCAAATACGCCGTTATAGAATTCTTCATCTTTTACAAATGAGCATGGAATTTCTTCATATGTTAGGCCGGTTTTTTTTATTAGTTCTTTCGGGTAATACTCCCGGGTGATTTTTGAGCCATATTTATTGCCAAGTTGAACAATATTCAAATGCTCCAAACTATAGTAAAACGTTTAATTTAATACAGATGTCGATCTAAACAAATTTTATGCATACCTGTACTTATCAATGTTCCCATCATTTTGCATGGTCTCAAGTATTTCTTTCCATAAATCACACAATCATTTTGATATCTTCCCCTGTCGCGCACTGGGCCAAATTTGTAACTTGTAAATAAGCCACACATATTACAGTAAACCCGCACGTTTGTCAAAGACGAGACAAATGGCACAATACACGGCCATACCACCCAAGACCCAAAAGAAGTAAATAGTATCCGCAAAATCTTTTCTGAGAACCTTGACCTTCATATTTCACAAACCACCACCAGCGTCAATTACCAAGGAAGTCAAACGATCGTGACATTATTCGTCATATTATACATCTGTGTCAACTCGAAATTCACTTGGGCAAGATAATTCGTATCCGCACGATGCAATATGCGGTCATAATGACTGATATTCTGGACCATCAACACCACGTGATCTGGATATCGCCCAAATACAACAAGACATCGTTAAATGCCTTCTTTTCTTTTATGGCGTTATACGGTGGCGTATTGAAGGAGGTATGGATTCTCGAGTATGCTTTTTCGTTTGATGGTTCGTATTCAGTAACGCATGATTGACCTGTTGTGGAAATGATTGTTGTTCGATCAACGCGAATTTGCGTGATTTATCCTCGTAACGCTTCATTAAACTCTTGATCACATCCAACTTGGAACCCAATAAAAGAGAGAGTTGGGTGAATTTCTTGCGACATCGACTGATTGGGCGCAACATTTCCCCTTGTTCGGATTTCGTCAGGACCAACGAGAGCTCGTCAATCAAGACTGTTTCAATCTCTACTTGCAAGATGATGGGGGCAAAACTATCCGTGAACGCATCAATCAGTGCATAATTTATCCAGTTGGATGTAATCATCAACTCTTTCAGTTGATCTGTTCTTTCACGTACTGTGTCACAATAACGGGATTTCTTATAACTAAACTGATTTTTAACAAGAACAAAAAAAAATGTCAATATGTTGGATTCAAAGAAGAGACTGAACTTACGGTTAAAAGGCCTTCCTTAAAGATCAAGGTATAAAAGTTAAGGGCTTGATTTGGTCGGACACATGATCGATATCAAAAGCTCGAAAGCATACAAATGTATAATTCGGGAACAGTTCTACTTTTTCACGCGGTTCCTGAGCTTGGATGTCTTCTGTGGTTAGCGGATGAATCCAAAATGTCTACATGAATAGTATATTAAAATAGATGAAAAAAAAAAGATATTGCATATTTATACCTTCTTTGCTCAAAATTCGCATCTCTTCGGCAGAGAGAGACAGGACATCCAGCCACCATCCTTTGGAGGAAACAACCGATTCCAGCGCTTTCTGTCCATGTTCGGTCAATAACTACTCCAAGCCTGTAGAGACAGTGGCATACTTTTGCGAAGAATAAATATTGAGTCGGACACCTGTCGGCATTAAATCGTCGTATTTGGACCGACCGTATAAATGGTTTTGTTGACTGGGTATTTTTGCGAGTGGGATGGTGCCTGTGGTGGATAACTTGCGGGTGTGGTTTTAAACCATGCGTTCAAAGGCAGCAATATCTACTTTGTCATCTTGACTAACATTGAAGCGAGGATAGATGGCATCGGTCTTGACATCATCGTCACTGCCCGACCAACACTTTTTTCGCTGAGGAAACTGCTATGAAGACTGGTGAAGTCGGTGAAGGATTGTAACTGGCGTCATGAAAGGTGGGCAGATTGTTGGGTGTGGCTCCCGTCGTCACTCTTTTGCGTATCAAGAATATATCATTGGACATACTTGTAATTTAATCTAATTTTCCTAGATGGTCTGAAAAAAAAAACCATCTTTTGTATTGGTAAGAGGCATGTTTAAAAATGTTTTACTCTTGCTCTATTAGCGGTAAAAAATAACTGTAATTAGATAGAAATTCTTTTCTTCCAAGGCTATTGTATACTCACTGTATTTTCCCACGAATCATGATTTGAAACTAAATATGTCTTTGGGTTATATAAAGTTGAGATAAATAAGGCGGTATTAACCCTCGTAATTTTTCAATGCATGCGTATACCCAAGCTCACCAACGAAACCAATACCGTTACAAATAACGTCAGCATCACCAGTCATTTAGTTAACTCTGTTATTACAACAGCGTTATTCTTTAAGTTTCTAATTTGCGATATCGTGATGACAAGGTGGATGTGTCAAACGTTTTGAAATCACTAGTGTTCAATTAGTTGTTGTCACTGTCCTTCATAAGAAAAGCAATTGTTCTTTTCATAGGCGTATCGACTTGTACAACTAGTTTCTCGTTTGAGCAGTCCGTCATTCAATTACTTGTACTTTGCAGAAATCTTGGATTTGTGTTAACCGCTGAGAGAAAAAGGACATTATCATAGATTTTGATTTTTGCAAGGTCATAAATTTTCGAAATGATGACGTACTTTCAATTTTTTCGGAAAGCAAGTATTATTGTTTGGTGGGGTGACCATCGCGAGCATCTAAATAAAAGCTTTTTTGGTATCAAGATATTTTAACATGTCGATGGCAGTCTGGTAGCTGGAAAGCTCAAATTAAAAGAATAATTACTTTAATTTCTTAAAATATATCTACCGATTAATTCCATCAAGGATAGCATTCGTTTTTTCTATGCTCATACCGATAAACTCTTTACTTTACTTTAAAGTAGACATATTGGATATAGCATCTTGGCCAAGGATATTGGTTTACGTATCAGGAAAGTCCTTATTCCAAAAATCTACCACTCGTTGAAGACACATTCTTTAAAACATTGATCATTTAACACTTACTTGACCAACTGTTTGACCCTTCACATATTTTTCTTCCTTGATTCAAACCCCTATAATAAAGTTCAGACGTTATAGAGTCCTTTGCATAATTCATAAAATTCTCTTTATGTACCTCATTTAGTTAAGCATGGTTAAAACCAGAAAGTACATCCTATGCAAATCGCATTACTGCATTTGATGCATTTATAGGGTTACCTATAATGTTTGAATGTTACATTTTCGGATGAGTCCTTAATATCTTCAAAAAAAACATCAGCCACCTTTTTGACGCTATATGTCGGCTCAAACGAAGATACAGTTAGTATATAATAGCTTTGAAAGGAAATTCTTTATATCTAATTGCTACTTTATTTTTGATGTTGATAGAGTGAAGAAGAAATAGTAGTAGAGGAAGATATCGAGATGAATGTCCGGGATATATGGAAGAAAATCCTTCTAAGCAAACATATGGTGATATCAACAAGCATAGGCATAAATAAAATTGACTTAGCTTCACACCCAGTTATATTAAATATACCACTTTATCTTAACTTGAAACATTTAGCTTGAAAATAGGCTTGATTTCAGAATATTACCCCGAAAAAAGTCATTAAATTGACAAGAGCTGTAGGTGAAGCTTCCACGCGAAGCATTTAATCTTCCCACGAATCACAAAGCGTCGGAGCGTTGTACGATAGACCAGAATGTGTTCCGATAGATGGATGGTCTACCTCGGACATTTCTAAACTAACAAACAAATGCCCTAGTTTTTCAATCGTATATTCATTTACCAGAACTAATTCCTCGCTGAAAAAACGATACATTCAACAACATCAAATATGCACGAAAGCGATTTGTAGAACTAGGGCTTGTCATAAGGTTAAATAATCTTTTGGGAAGAGACAAGGTATTTCTTGCTCCATCAGTGGATCTTAAGCTTTATTTTATAAACCCTTTTACAAATTCTTGAATAAATTCAGCACCATAATCACGAAGGCCTGCATCTGAGTTACATGCAACTTCAAGGCAAGCGGTAAGTAGAGTCATAGTCTCTAAATTTTCTGACTGTGCATTGTTTGTAAGTCATTGGATAATTTGCGAATAAAGTAGACGGAGCATGTCTCGAGCAATTTGATCTAAATCAATACCTAATCTTATCGTTACTGGAAATATCTTCAGATAAAACCTATGAAAATCGGATTCACTGGCTTCTTTGGCATATTGGGCTTGGAAGGCTGCATTACCAATCATAAAAAAAGTTAATCCGTGAAGTAGCTCGCACACAGATGCTTTTATTAGTCTTTCGGGTGATGATTTGGCAAGCTCACAAATAAGGGGTAGGTCTTCTCATTCAAATAAACGTCTACTTTAGAACTTCTGAAAGGAATGCGTGATTTCAATCGCTCTACAGGATCCCAAGCAAGCGTTCCAATTATCTTGAATGAAATGCTGTCCTGATAGAAGTTGTTTGCTTTTACTACCAGTCGCCCTGAAAATTGCATCATACGTAATTGTGACTCAGGAATACTTGAATAATTACTTTAAGCAACTCCAATTTGATCGAAAGTCATATTGACATGAACTGATCTGTAGCGGTGTTCTGTGCGGTAGGTGCTCAATAGATCTTGTCGGTGTTACTTCCGATTTTGTCTGTATTAATGGCGTTTGTGAATTAGAGGTTTTCTTTATTGCTTGGTTTTCAGTAGATTATTTTGAACAGCATTATTATCTAACATACTACAAAGAAAAGAGAATCAACATTACTTTATCAATGACCACCTCTGATAAATTTTGAGCGTAATGCTTCAAAGATTCCATGGTATAGATACGCTGATGCTGGATGATGACGTTTTTATTCACATAACTGGTATCCCAAAAACCTATACTGGGTAGAAGCCTTTACTTCGCTGGTCCCGGAAGTCGTCCTCGAGGCAACAAGAGCATTGTCCGCAAAGGCTTTATGGTTTGAGCTCTGGTCAAAAACAAAAAAAAAAACCTTTGTTGTAATGGTATATTTAGACAAAGACGTTAGAATTGGCCATTATATGAAGTAATTGCAGCTTAATTTACTCACGTAAACATCACTATCTTTGATAAACAGACCGCTGGTGCTATAACTTGTAAAGTTAAATATATACTGCAAAACCTGAATGATTTATCAGACTTACAATAACTGCAAAACGGTATGAATTTTTTTTATAAATGGCTTGGCTACAGTGTATTAACACTTCAAGTGATTGGCCGGCTCTTTCGGATGAGCTTTCTTCAAATGAAGTATTGTCTGAAGGGGGTCCCATTTGTATTTAAGTCAAATAATTCCGGATTATTAATCAGCGAGAACAATGCTTAAACGACCCAAGCTATACTAAAACAATATATTTAATACAGATGTCGATCTAAATAAATTTTATGCACACCTGTACTTACCGATGTTCCTATCATTCTGCATGGTCTCAAGTATTTCTTCCATAAATCCCAGACACTCATTTCAATTTTCTTTCACTACTATTTCTTCCTCACTCTATCAACGGTAAAAAGAAAGCGGTAAATAGTTAGAAATTATTTTCTTTGAAAGTTATTATATACTTACGTATCCTAACACGAACCCATAATGTGGTAGAGCGGATAGTGATACACCAGATGTTTGGGGATCATCAACAATTCTTCTATTTTTTTTTTTCCTTGATCGATTTTGAATCTTTTGGCTCATTAAAGACCTTGGTAATGCTAGGAGCTGACGAGGAGGAAGGTAGTTGACTCCAGATACTGCCATTACTGGACAGATCACGAGGTTGATCGACATCTCTACTGGAGGGGGGTTCTTGCTGGTTTACTAAACGAGAACAGCGACTTGAGGAATGTTGCTGGCTGATATCACCACATACTTCTTGTAACTTTCACCTCTAGAATTGCGGACAACAGTTGCAGCATTGTAGCTGTTTCCCCATGTGCTTCCATAACGGTAGTAGTTCTATAGTTGACATTATTGAACTTATTAATGGTAGTGTGCAGTTGGTCTTCAGTGGGCTATTTTGAATATTAGTGTCTTAATTACTTAAGAGAAAAAACAATTGGGATTAGTTTCTCACTGACAACCTTTGACAAATTTTGAAATGATCGTCGCCGTCTTGGACATATTGCTATATGTTATTGAGACACAATTTGTACTGACTAGTTATTTTTTCAAGTTTTAAAGGCACGCGAGCTGTAGCTTGACAATGTTCCGTATACGCTTTCAACTCCAGTTCAACAAGTTGTTTTGTTGTCTAACGAATTCGAACTCCTTTTTGTTTGGCAAGGCGCTCCTCCCACCGAGCCAAAATTCTAGCGAAGTCTCGCATCACTTGTTTGGTACAAGACACCTCCATTGTTACTTAAACACGCGTGATTATGACGTGCCATTGCTTGCTGCTCTATGTACATGTTTTTTTGGCGTGCTACATACGTGTAGAAAAGTGTTATAAACGTGTAGGGAAGTGTTGTAAACGTGTAGAGAAGTGTTGTAAACGTGTAGAGAAGTGTTGTAAACGTGTAGAGAAGTGTTGTAAACGTGTAGGGAAGTGTTATAAACGTGTAGGGACGTGTTTGAAACGTGTTTTGATGTCTTGTTACCGTGCTTTGATGTCTTGTAAACGTGTTTTGATGTCTTGTAAACGTTTTTTTGATGTTTTGTAAACGTTTTTTGATGTCTTGTAAACGTGCTTTGACAATATTATTATGCAGGTCGAGCATTTTAATAAACGGAAAAAGTTGCTTTAGAAGCGATGCATTTTGTTTTGTTTTTGTTTTTAGTTCATTAGATGATCAAGTCACGGGTTATTTGTTTTTGACTGATAAGGTATTTGCTTTGAATGGGTGCGATATCAGTAATAACTAAATCGTAAGATAACATAAAATGCCTTGATTATAGAGCAGTTTTTTGGTATTGCTGTATAAAATGGGTAGCAGAGTATTAGCATTAGACGATATTAAAAGGACAGGGAAATGTCTATACCTCCGTATTTTTTCAATGTATTTTTTTGTATCACTTACAGCCATGACCAGCAAGCCAGTATGACCACACATATTACAGTACAATTCCTGTTATTTACAATCTATGCATTGAGTGTCTCAAAGCCTAAGAACTCAACCTGGGAGATTGCCATCCTATAGCAAAGACGATCCGTAGCAGAGAAATCACAAGAATCGCAATGTATCTTTTGCATTTTTTTAAAAAAAGAAGAGATAATAATTTAGGAATTTGTGAAAGACAAAAAGTCATCATCAACTAACCTTAGTTACTTTCATATATATGTGAAAAAAAAAGAGAAATAAGTATTAAGGGAAGAGAAAAAAAGGAGGAAAAAATGTGTGAACGAGTCTTATATCATGACTGATAAACAAGAGCTTATGTCAGAATGATGTAATCATCTATAATGTTTGGGCCTTTACTTAAAATGGAAACATCTACATATACCCCAAGCAAGTCGTTGTCTATCAACGTTTCAGTAATAGCATGCACTGATAGTAAAGCATATTTTAGGAAAAACAAAAAATCGATCATCCTATGAAGTTAAAAGTCAAGACAATATGGCATGTCTATCAACGTAAACATTTTTCTTAGACTTATGTGTAGACCATTATGGAGTTTTGAAAAATACGGAGGTTTAGACATTTCCTCAGGTAGTAAGACGAGTGAAGCAAACAATAACACTAGCGTCAGCAGTAGAACAGTTATTAAGAACACTAGGAAATAAAAATTTAACAACGTCTCTATTGAGAAAAGCTCCACGACCAAAAATAAAAAAGGTAACCTCTTTGTTTATAAATATAATGGCATAAAACAAAATCACCAGTAATCCAAATTTATAATTTTTACACATTGGGTACAATGGAAGAGCCTTTAAAAAATAATATCAGAAGTCATTGAAGCAATCTGCAGGCGACTACGTACCACGAATTCATGTGGAATTTAACAACGAAGATAAAATTATGGGCAGGCAAATATTAATCACGGTCAGCTTTCAAAGAGTATAAATAGACCCTATTATTTCATAGTTAAATCTTCAGTACCTTTCGTATCACTGTTTTTTTATACTTTTATTTTTTTTTTTGTATTAAATCAGAAAAACTTGATTTGTAATAGAAGCAAGACCCGACTAACTACGCTTCGAATTGTCTCGAAATATCTTAAATCTAATTATCAGTTTTCGTACATGGAAATTTCCAGAAGGACTCAATAAGATATTACAAACGAGTTTGTTCAGCTCTCTATTCAAAGCACTATTCCGATTGTTTTGTGGATATAATAATTGTATCCAATAATAATGAAATATAATAATGGATTGACCAGAAAAATTAAGCATTGTAAGAAATGATTAATATGGAATTGATATTTATTAAGTTTAATATATTACCTGCACAAAATAAATATAGTTTTTAATATAGAATTGATAAAGGTTCTACATTGCATCCAAAGCTTACAGGAAATATACGATCGCGTAAACCAAGTTAATATATATATATATATATAATTTACAAAATTGCTTTTTGCAATTTTCAATCACGTAGCACGATTTATTCAATGATCCAATATGTTATTGGTATTAGGAGCTAAATATACTTTACGACACAGTTTTCTTCTATTGAATGAAGTCTACTCATGATATTCAATTTTTTTCTACAGATCATCAACACTCATTAAATGCGGCATTGTAGATTTAATTTACATAGGCTTGGAAAAAAAATCACTTTTGAAATTGCGATTCGACATATCAATCCCAGATGTATAAAAAGATGTACATGATAATTATAAGTACGCTTGTCGACTCTAATACACATTGTATACACTAATCGTGTAAACTAAACCTGTCACATTGATTTTATTTTCTAAAATCGAAAAACAGGTGACTGACAAAAGTCTATATTTTTTTCAAGAGCATCAAGATCAATACAGGTACAGTTTTGTTTTTGGAACTGTCAAGAATAGTGATCGTGCTGTTATAAAAAACATATTTCCCTGAATTGCAGAACACGATCGTGCCATGTTTGATCATACTAATTATGCTCTCGCACTCGTCCCATAAAACTACCAAATTTGATAGTACCATTCTCCGAAACTTAAAGATATGGCATATCTT